TAAATTGTAATTTTGACGAAAAAGTCGCATAACTCAAAAACAAAACAAATTTGTTTTCTTTTTTATATTACTTTAATTCCGAGTTTAATTCGTATTTATTAATATTATTTGGAGACAAATGATTTAAAAAAGCGCTTGGTTTCATACTTCATATTCAGTAATATTCACCCTGTATATATTTACATTTGTAGTTAACAAAAATAAACCTAAACTATTAAGATCAATAGAAGATATTAAATGTAGCTTTTTATTTTCTTTTTTTTTCATAATGAAACGATTTTTATTTTTACGTAAGAAAGCTAATAAAACATTTTGTTACTACTATTTTATTCTGTTTAATACAAATTTTTGTTTGTAAAGAAAAAATTTGGTAATAATAATAACCATGTTGAACATCTTCACGAAAGCGAAAATGAAAGTTGCTTTACGACCAATGTTTTCTTTCTGTGTTTGTAACTAAATGCAAAAGATTTGCAGTATTTGATATCCCTTTTTCTTTCAGTTTACTTCAGTCACTCAAGCGGAAAGTGATCGCCTTCTTTCATTGAGGTCTTATTTTCCTCGTAAATCAAAAACATTACTTTCTCCTATACATGTAATCAGCACTTTCAGAATGCCTTCAAATTTTCATAACATACTTATAATTAAGTTTAGGGTTTTATCCAACAAGCAAAATCAATCACAGGAAATATTTTGTTTAATTTGTGTTTATAATTGATACTGGTAGGTATGATTTAAATTTCTTCTTTGATTCAAATTTTTCTTTGTTTTTGTTAGAAATTGGTATGATTTAGATTGATATCGAATAAAAATTGTGAATTATCTGAAACATTGATGATATCTACTAATTTTAACATACTTTAAGTCCAACTACTAGCGCCATTCTCTAATTTTTTACATACAACTGTATAAATGTTATGGTTTTATGAGTATGTCAAAAAATGATCTATTATAAGTTGGTATGTTTACAGAAGTTTCATTACTGAATGTTGTTATGATTTTTCTCTTTGACAATACGAAACAATCTAAAATTTATAATTTTTTACAGCTTTATTTTAAATAATAATAATTGTTGAAACTGTAAAATAAATGAAACAAATAAAGAATAAAAAAAAATAAAAAAACACTAAAAATTTGTAAAATCCGCACTTTTTGAGCTTTTGAGAAATAATTACGATGAGCCACTATCACTCACCATAGTATTCATGTTGCTGTACTTGAGGACGTCCAAAAAACGGTAAGACGTCAACAAACGATTCACACTCACCTCCGTGAAACAAATGCACCGAAGCTGAAAACCCCTCTCTTATTTATAGGATAAAAGTGCCCAAGTAGATTTTTGTTGAAACATGTCCTAGATTGAATGGTGAAGAGAGACAAACATAAAATTTCACTGGACGGTGGAGAGTACTTTCGCTGAAGGTTACTGTATCCTTAATATTTTTCATAATAATTATCTTGGTATTCTTGTGGCGACGCTCTTTACTACTCTGCTTCACCTCATTGTTTCATGGAAAAATTAAATAATTTCCTTTTAATGAGTGCTCGTAAATTAGACGTTTTGTGTTTAATTGGACGACTTTGGCCATCTGTCTAAAAGCTCTAAAGCAGCTCTCTAATGTCGATAATTTTTTGCAGGTGCATAATTAAAAGTGCATCAAGAATAAGTTCTCTACAGATGACTATTTAAAGGACATTACTCTGAATTTCTTTAGCATTTTCTATCAAATTTATACTTTCAAAATAAATAAAAATGTATTGTGTGATACAGTGCGCAACATGGTGTTACAAAAATTGTGGCTAATTAGGCGATGTGCTAATTGCAATCATTACAAATGTCTAAATTCTTTTAATAGTTGTTATGCTCCAAATAATTGAATTAATAAAAAAAAATCTGCCATTTTCAGTAAAATTTCATCAATACAGTAGGCATTTTATAAAAATGTGACTATGAAAACGTAAAAGAAGAAAGATCAAATCAGCTTATCAAGCTTTCTCAAGTTATTTTAACTCATCACACATTTGCGTTTACGAACATCACGACTACATTACATAATACACAGTTCTTGACCTTTCTTTCCACAAAGTGGCCAAGTCTTAGAAATGAGGAGTCAAACAAACTCAAGTTTAATTACATATTGCTTACATAAAAAGTAGGATAAACATTCTTCATGCTTCTTCGATTTTATTTGGCATAAAATTTTCAAATTACCCAAATGAGATGCTTTTAATATTATGTTTAATAGTGTGAAAACATTTACATTGTTACATTCTAACATGGTAAACGATTTTTCGACCGTTAAAATTTTCACTTTCGTAAAAAATTACCGTTCACTAACAAGAACGTAACTATGCTCTCACTGTCGTGTTAAAATTTTTTTCTTGTAATTTTCGTCCATACTTAATCGAGTTTTGTCAATGGTTAACATTGTTGGGATTTTATTGCTTTTATTATTGACCTAGAAAGGAAAAGCCGTGACGACATTCGGTGAATGTCAATATCATGGTTACGATACACTTTTTGACTGTATTAATTACTGTTTTAATTTGATTGGTTGACTGTTCTGTTATTCAATTAGAAAAAATATTTCACTTAATTATTGACAACTCAATTTATGAAGCACATTAAAAATTCAAATAATTTTAAATTATGTAGCATTAAATTAGTTGCATATTGGTCTTGTCGTATCTTTCTTTAATTGGAAAAGGTTTAATCAATTTTACACCTGCAAGTGTGGGAGGGTCAATCAAACTTGAATTTTGTGCTGAACTAAAAGATACAAATATTCCAATTTTACTCCTTTACTTTTCGTTTTGAAAATAATGATAAAAATCAATCAAATATTCGATGCTGTATTATTACCACAGATTTTCATCTTCTAAACACAAATAAAACTGTGTAATTTGTTTTATTACGCCAGAGAATTGTGAGAACAATTCTGAATTTGAATAATTTTCTCTATTGTTCTTTTATTACTTCCATTATTTAACAGTCTTTATTGATCAAACACCTCAAGCTGCAACCGATCGTTTATATTACCATAGCATCAAAACTTGTTTATTTAGTTAAAATGGAGTTCCTATCAATAGTTTGTCATCTAATAAAATTTGGTAAAATCTCTTAACATCTGTAACATATTCTGATTTTTCCAAATTCTGTCTCTGACTAAATTTACCCCATAAAAGAATATCCAGATTAATTAATAAATATTGGGGGGGGGTTAAAGTCGGACAAAGTCCTCATGAGCGAACCTACTTTGTCTTCTTTGTCTGCATGGGTTCTGATAGCTTTATCTGTTTTTTCATAATATCCTACTCGAGACTGGGACAATTTGGCACCCCAATTATTATTATCATAGTAGTTATTATAAAAAATGCAAAAACATTTCCCGTTTTCGTCCCGACTACAATCCGATTTAGTCTTACGGCATCTCCTCTTTCACGACAGTTTTAGTTTATACCGGGGCTCATTTTTTGAGAAAATAATACTGGTTAAAACCGCATCCCGCTATCGTCTTTTGAATTCGACTTACAGACAAAAGTTGACATTTTGGCTAAATCTAAAAAAATTAATATCTTCGTTATTATAGAAGACACAGATTTGAAATAAAGACACTATACAGGCACTTTTTTACGTAGAATTTAATAATGTAGTTAGCAATTTTTTTCAGTTATTAGTTTAGCCATAATAAAATAAACTTGTATTTTTTTAAATGGGAATTATAGGTGGCTATGTCATTTTTAAAAAAGCTTATTTTTTCTGATCTAAAAAATATATATTTGTAACAAAATATTTTTTTATAACTATACTTAAAAAGTGAAATACATATTTTGTGTGATAATAGTTGGCCATGGAAAAACTATTTCACTCCAAATGTGTAAATAATAATCAATAAGAGTTTTGTGAACTGTAAAATAGATGAAAAAATAGATAACATTATAAAGATTTAAAAAATACGATACGGTAGAAGAATTGAACAAATATCCGAGCGCCTCAGAACAAAATTATTACATATTTTTAAAAAATCAAAAAATAGGAAAAACAAATGTGTCAACAGTCAACACAATTACAAAAAACATTTTTTGATGATCTAATGGAGGTAGGATAACGTTTCACATAGACGGGATTTGGGTATTTGAATAGCCATATCGTCATTTTTGTGTCATATAAAATATATTTTATTGAAGAATTAAAGCGGTTTTTTTTTACAACACTCTATGTATCACTAGAAGTTGCAATGGTAATGTTAGCTTGTTTAAAAACAAAGAAATGTTATTAGTCGCCAATAAGTTGATTTACAATTTATTTTGCATCTTTTTCATCACTTAGTACTTAGAAAACTCTTTCATTAGTGCCACTGGTTGAATATAATATAGTTTAAATCCTTTTAGTTGAAGATGCAACATTTTTTCATGGCCAACTGCGAACAAAAATCAAAGATAATTTTTTGCTAAAAATGTATTATAATAATTTGTTACAAATATATATTTTTTACATAAGAAAAAAACAAGCTTATTAAAAATGACATAGCCACCTATGATTCCCATTTAAAAAAACACAAGTTTATTTTATTACGGCTAAACAAACAACTGAAAAAAATTGTTAACTACATTATTAAATTCTACGTAAAAAAGTGCCGTCTTTATTTCAAATCTGTGTCTTCTATAATAACGAAGATATGAATTTTTTTAGATTTCGCTAAAATGTCAATTTTTGTCTATAAGTCGAAAACAAAAGACGATAGCGGGATGCGGTTTTAACCAATATTATTTTCTCAAAAAATGAGCCCCAGAATGTATTACTCATTTTTGGCTAAACCTCTTAGTTTCGGAGATTCCCTATTCGTACATAACAATTTTATCTAAATTTATTTCTTAAAGATAAACACGCACGTAATACGCTCGATCGTGCAGCCCTTAAATTTAATAACAAATAACGCATTTTGACTTTTGAGCGTTCTTAATTACGTCAAAACGTCGATATATAATGGGAAAACTATAAAATTTAATCTTAGTTTAAAAAAAAATAACATTTAAAATAAGGGTAAATTGATCACACATGGCAATTAAATATTCTTTATTTTATTGGAGGTACAAAACCTGGGGCAGAGTATTTACTCTTTGTCGGAAACAATTTGTAGCTCTCCTTTATTACAGAGCGGCGACAGTTGCCATAAGGCACGTAGAAGTTTTTGTTCGTCTGGTGAAATAGTGGTCTGTCTAATTCTCATTGGATGATCTAGGGAATATACCTCATGCATTTTTGCACTCATGCGTAAAAAAACACTTCTTACGGTGTTTTTTAAGTTTGCATGATTAAATTTGACTTTTTCCAAGATTTCTTTCGGCTTGGAATTTTCGAAGTAGGCAGTTCAAGACTGCCGGGCGTGTTGGATCTTCGACATTAATATTGTGTCTTTCAAATGTGCTAAATGCGTTTCGTAACATCAGTAATTCTTCTTTTTCCACTAATTTGATCTAGAAGTATAGATATAAAGAAAAATCTTTAAACCAATTTTTTGTCACAAGGGTATATTATCATTTAAGAACAAATATGTTAGAAAAAATTAAAAAAATAGTACAACTACATGAGAGTAAACCGTAGTATTTTTTGTCTCTCAAAATGTTTTTCTATTTTGTATCCCAAAACTTGCCTTCGTTACTTTTCTTTTTTGCTTTTACTCCTATTTCACAAACTGATCCGAATCAAATCAGTCACGACCTTTTGCAATAGCCCAGTATATTTTTACCAATAACTTCTTTTCCTTCGTTCGTTAATAAATCATTTCTGATACCATTCTTTCCCTTTCCTGGCAAGAATGCTCTAAACCTCCTCGTGGTTCTTGCTGGGCAAATTAATTTTTGTTCTTTTATTTTTTTTTTTACTTTTTGTAATACACGTAACACAATAACGATAAACATAATATGTGTCTCACTACAAATTCCTAGAATCGTTTCACAAAATTAATTTGGCTAATTAGAGCTGTGCGTAAGGACCAACCCATATAATAATTTCTAAGCAAAAACCGTTCTCAGTGAAAATAATATAATTATTATGTTTTTATTTTTTTTAGGATTACGTATTGGGCTTCTTGCCTTTATTTTAGCCCTATCTATTTTTTTAATTTATTTTTAAATAGATGAATAATTAAAAAATTGAAGTTTTGCATGGCACACGGGCATCACAACTTAGGAGCATCAAATTTTTGGAGTAGGATATAAATAAAAAAACAAAAGATTTACAAAATTATTAAAAAAACAAATAAAATAAAATAAACAAAATAAATAAATAAAAAATTTCCTAGTTCTTACAAATTAAATAAGACACTAAAGAAAACACTATTTGAAAATAAACTCGAAATATACAATCATTACCGGTTACATTTACATCTTAGTCATGAATTCTCAGATTTTTTTTGCTTCCTTACGTTGCACTACTTCTGATCCAATTATTTTGTCTTTGGTGGGCAATTTTAAGTGTATTTGGTATTTGGAATTTGGATATTATTATTAGTAATTTCTCAACATAGTTTGCTAATTTTAATCATTTGAAAAATTTTCTCTATTGTTCTTTTATTATTTATTGATCAAACACCTCAAGCTGCAACCGATCGTCAATATTACCATAGCATCAAAGCTTGTTTATTTAGTTACAATTAATTACTGGCAAGTGATAAGTTCCAATTTGTCAAAAATGGTAATTTTACACGTGAAGAACAATGACCAAAGCCAGTTTCTTTTTGAAACTACCTTCAACACTCCTGTTGAAGAAGTTGTTACAAAAATAACTGCAATATTCAATGGGCGTTTGAAAGTGAATCGAATTTGTTCGGAAATTGAAGAACTAGCGAAACATGGAACACTGTACCCTCCTGAAATTTTGGGTTTGACTCCTGAACAAGTTGAAGAATTAAAATTAACGGACACTTGGGGTGAAAAATGTATCCCTAGTGGGGGTTTCACAATAAATAAGGATCCCATCGGTCGCAGAAATGGCAAACAGCCCCGAAAGGAAATGCAAGATGTTTTGAATAAAGCGATAAAAGATGCTAAAGACATGATTTCAAAGAATTTAGTTTTGCAGAATAAATGTTTGGATATTAAGGTGGTGAAAGAGGCAATTAATATTCTCAAAGGAGCAACTCTTATTGTATATCCCATGAAATTGCCCCCTCATGACGTAATTCGAATGGAATTTGAAAACATTGAAGATTTGTCTGGAACCCAAGCGTCTCTTGAAGTCATTGATCCAGCAACGGCCCAACTGTGGTTCTGTGGAAAGGAAATGTACAGAGATGGAAAAATGTTGGGGGATTATGTTGGAAAAATTGAAACGTGCAAGGTATGGAAAAGTGGATTATTTTATTTAATTTTTAAAGGTTATTCTTTAGGTTATTGTTAAATTGACAAAACGAGGTCAAGGACCTCCAGCAAGAGAGCCAATCATGTCAGAAGAGCAAAGAAAAGAATTTATGATGCACGCGTATCGAAGACAGGAAGAATTGAAAAAACTTGAAGCGGACGATGATGATAATTATTTCAATTCGGAGTGGGCCGACAGCAGTAATTTGAAGAAAACGTTTCATGGTCTTCGAAATATCTCCTGGAGGCCCGGAAAATAATCATTAACAAACTGTTACTTAAATAAATATGTCTTTATTAAATCAAACATTTAAAAAATCAGTTATTTCAACGAGACCTTCTGTCGGACTGAATGACAAATTTTTGTACTTTTGTATGGAATTTGGAACTCTCATTTTGTTTCTTGGCGTGGTAACGGTACACTAAAAATAGACAATAATTAATAGTAATAGAAAATTGTTATTGACTACTATGTACCTCCTGGGCCGCGGTGGTGATCAACTTCGCTCGATGATTTTTCATTGGCACCAGATTGTTCGGCAGAGTGAGCATAGGCCAAAGATTTTCCTAAATAAGTGACACTTTATTTTCGGTTTTTCTAAACAAAATTGTCTTACCTTTAGCAGCTGCAAGATTACCTAAGTTTATATCTAAACCTCCAGCACCTGCTCCTTGGCCAACTCCAACAGCACTTGCACCACCAATAGAAGCGAGATTATTTAGTCCATTAGCGTCAGCGCCAAAACTGCCGTCGGCAATAACACCAGATCCTGCAGCACTTCCATATCCTGCACCAACACCATTATTTTCTTTACCGTAGCCCAAACCGTTAGCTGCATTAGTGGCATAACCATATCCATGCAAACCGTTTGCACCACCACCGACACTGCTTACTCCAGCACCACCATTTGCTCCATATCCTTCACCGATGGCAGTAAGACCTGAACTACCATAACCATATCCGTTTGCACCACTACCGACACCAATACCATTGCCTACTCCAGCACCACCATTTGCTCTATATCCTTCACCGATGGCAGTAAGACCTGAACTACCAGCTGCATTATTGGCATAACTATATCCGTTTGCACCACCACCAACACCAATACTATTGCTTACTCCAGCACCTCCATTTCCTGCACCGGCGACACCAACATTGCCAGCCGCATTACTGGCATAACCATATCCAGACAAACCAGTTGCACCACCAGTGGCAGTTGATCCATATCCATTACTAACAGAACTAAGACCGTTATTTCCTCCACTACCTGTGTTGCTGGCATAATTATAACCCTGCAAACCATTTGTACCACCGGCGGCGTTAAGACCGGCTTTTCCTCCAGGACCTGCATTGCTAGCATAACTATATCCATCTAAACCATTTGCACTTCGAGCAGTATCAAAACTTAAACCACCAGGTGAATTTTTGGCATAACCATATCCACTTTCTCCACCACGTTCAGACCCGCCAACAAAACCAAGGTTATTTGAACCACGAGTAGGAACAACCCCATTTCCTAAACTAACTCCACCAGAGGTAATATAACCATTTGCATCTCCTCCAGTAGCACCAAGAGTGTTAGCTCCATAATTGCTAGAAGCTTTTCCAAAATAACCTCCTTGACCCAGATCTTTATTTATTGGCATATTAAAAGTGGGTACTCCTGCATCATTTCCAGATCCGTAGCCACCACTAATAATTTGTGGTTGAACTTCTGATGATTGACCAAAACCGATATTTTGCACCCCTGTATCCAATGATTGTGATGGTCTAATATTACCAAGTCCTCCAGAAGTGGCCGTCGTCGGGGATGCTAGTGCGTTTCCTGACGATTGACCATAGCTTGCACTTTGTAATTGAGCTCCTGTGTCATATCCTGGTTTAAGCACACCTCCACTTGGTGCCAAGGTGCCACTAAGTGATGGTCCTTGACTAGCATCTCCGTAATGTATGCCACTACCTCCAATAAGAACATTTGGTTTTTGAGAAGTATCATATCCGGTTCCTTGACCGAAGTTGAATGATTGTTCACCACTCATTCCTCCATAGTTGTTTGTTGGGATGGAATTAGGTTGTCCCACATTTAATCCTAAACTAGGAATAATATTTCCGCTTGATTCGTAATTAGTAGAGACTGGTAACTGTTGTTGGTAACCTAAACCTTGCCCAGCATTAGACCCAATAGAAGATGAACCATAATTAGAGGAATCTATCACAGAGTTAGCACCAAGATTATTTGGTGAATACCCTTCAATTTGGGTAGATGGAGTTTGTAGAGAGTTTGTAGAACCGGCCCCATAATTGTAACTAGATTGTGATGGGAAGCTGAGGGTTTGGGGACTACTCCCAACTCCAGTTAACTGTCCATAAACTCCTGATGGTTTCGCATAACTCCCCCAATTCTGTCCTTTAATCGAGCTAGCTCCATTTAAATAACTAGCACAAACAGCTGGAATGTCAGACAAAGACTGTGCTACGGCCGAACCAGCAAATAACACACTAGCACAAACTAAGATCAAAGGCTGAAAGAAATCGAATTAAATAAATTTTTTACAAGTATTGTGTTATGCTTACGTTTAGTTTCATTTTATGTCTACTGTCAAGCCACCCAATAACTGACGATTCTGAAATCGTCTCACTTTTATACTTTCCAAGATTATTGCAAAAATTAGTGTGGGAAGTTTGCTTGCATCTTATCGATAGGTAATCAGTAATTCTTTCCGCTAAAATTTTCATTATTTAGCTATTTTTTCAATTAAAATTGATTTGGATTTTAACAAAGTCAGTTTCATTTTTTCCGTATTAACAAAGCGTGAAATCAAATTTTGTATAACATTTTTTTTTAATTGAATTTAGATTTAACACTTAAGATCATTTTTTTTACAATGTATTACTTTTAACAGTGTTCATCCTAATGCCTGTTATTTATAAAATGACCTTGATGATTTGACAACCACGTTATTGACACCATGATTTAATCAAACGAGAAAGACTACAGCAATAAAAAATTGTTATCGGGAGAATTAGAAAGTTAATAAGGTTAACTAGGTTCCTATCAGAAGTTTTTTTATGCAACCGTAACATTTTTTATATTTTTACATTACTTTTGATATAAATAGAAAGGAGTTACTAATATTTAAAAATTAAATATTTATTTAAAATCCAACAAAAACTCTGGAAATATTTTTTTATACGTAATATCTTACACACACTGTAGTGCGTAATCGTAAATATGTAAATGAGTGCCTAATATTGTGTCCACAGTGTGAAACTGTTAATAGAAAATTCTTTCTAGTTCACTGCTTGGTTTGGAAAACAACGAAAACTCATATCTGCAATAATTTATTGTTTTGAAATAATATTGTATTATTTCAAAACAAGTTTTAGGGGCGGCGCAAAAATAAATATTTTTAATTGATTAAAAAAAGGTTTTGATAGTGTAAACGATAGAGGATTCAATACAGTTTAATTTGGTGTTTTAATATTGTACATTGTACAAAATTTTTAGCGTATGGTAGTGAGACCTAAAAAATCAAATTTGGAGAAAAAAATTTCAATTGAAAGGAATATTTTCTAAAAATTCTTTAATTTTTTTCTGGGGTATATGCAAAAATAGAATAATGATAAAGTTGATTATAGGTTTTAATATTGAAAATCTGAGACTTGGAATATTTTTCGGGGGCGTTTGGGGTAATTACCCCAAAATAAATATTTATATATTATCAATTGATAATCATCAATTAGAAATATTTATTTTTGCGCCGGCCCTAAAACTTGGGGCACCCTGTACTAAAGTTTTAATAAAATAAAAGAAAAGTTTAGCACCATAAATAATTATCTGACATTCTGCAGACGTAAAATGTTTATCAGAAGCTAATTAAAAATAGACTTTATATTTAATGAAAATAGTGAAGGTCGATTGCTATCAAGTCGTGCAGAATAGTGCATTCTAATAAATGGGCGGTGGTTCTATTATTCCAATGCAAAAATACTCACGTTTAAAAATTGGTGAAGCAATTGCAGGCAGAGTAAGGGACTGAATTAAAAAAAATGGTGAAGAGTTTTTTTATATCTTTTTGACTTTTATTGTTAATTGTCTGGTGATGTGATCAATAATTTTGCAAATCCCACGCAAATGTCATAAAAATCTTTTCCAATTTTAAGATAATGTGACAAATAAGTACTATAAATTCATGATAATGAGTCTAAAGTATCTCCACCGGTTTATTGTTTTACTTGCTCGTAGTTTCAATAAATTATACCACTTTTTATAAACGTTTCAAAGATTAATTTTTATTTTCTTTAAAAATAACTAAAGTAGCATCAGTGACGTAAATGTGTTTTTCTGCAAGGCAATAATAAACTTATAAATTAAAACATGCTACAGAAAATCGTCACAGTCAATATAATTTAACAAGCTTATAACCACAGTTTATTGAGCACAGAAATGAAATTCTACGTGAGTTTAAAATTTATGTGTGATTAAAACAATTTTTCTTCTGTGTAAAAATTTTAGATTTCAATTGCTTTATTGACAATTATTTTGGTCATTACTAACATAACCGCAAAACCGGCACCAAATTTTGTAAGTTTGCCACCTACCTTAGGTTTTTTTGTAACTAAAAATTTTATTTAGATATTTGGGATACCAGGAGCCTATCTTGGTTGGTTTAATTGGGGATGGTACCCGTATACTCACGTGACCTACACTTACCCTGCTTACACAACCGATGACGGGGTCAAAGTAACATGGTCATCATGGTGAATTTAATGTTAAATAAAATACAATCTTTGATTAACAAAAAATATATGTATTTGGCTTGTGTGGTAAATGCTTATTTATTCACTTATTCAATAATGTTCATCGTACAAATCCCCTTTATACGACCCATCATCGTACAAATGTTCCGTGTAATCGGGAATGTATTGTCCTTCATGCCCAGATCCTGTTGCCAAAAGAGGAGCTACTCCTACGTAACCAGGAGCTACCGCTGCGCTTACAACACCTCCATGATGGGCAGGTGCAACAACGGTACCACCAGCAGCGTAACCGGAAATGTGGCTACCATCAGGCCCCAGTAGAGTGGTTTTCGAGCCAGGTCCTTGAAGTACCACACCGTGAGTACCAGGCCCTACCAATCCCACACCCAAATGGCTCGCCCTTACGGTACCAACAATCACAACCAAAACAAAAAATTGTGTGCCCTGAAAGATCACAATAATTCATTTTTTTCAACACGCTTGACTTACCACTGTTTTCATGATGTTAATACAATTATCGTGCGATCAAATAACAAGAAGGTGGTACCTAGATGCATTTATAGAAGTGAGGTGACCTCGCACACCCGTCACTGGCCCTTCTTTGCGGAAATTATAAACACACAAAACACTGAAATAATTAAGTTGAAAGAACCGAATTAGAGTGGACATTTTATAATTATACAATTTGTGTTTTTGTGTGCGAGAAAACAATTATTTGTCTCTTAAATTGTGCTTTTAAGGCCATGTTTGTTGTTATTTATTAACCTTGAATGCTTCAAGAATGTGTAACAGGGCGGGGTACTCTGAAGAATGACTTTCTTTACATTTGTTCTGACACGTGATTGCGGAGAAGTAACGGTATCACCCCCAAAAATCAGAAAAGGAATAAAACCCAAAATTGTATAAAAAATTGCAAATTTCTTTATTAAACCTATCGAGTACATAAATCGTCTGGTTTTTACCACCCATGTCCCCAAAGTCCATGACCAGCCAATCCAAGTCCCCATCCACCATGCCCAATAGCGACGGCGGGGGCGGCGAGAACAGCCCCATGACCGAGCCCGAGTCCATGTCCCACAGCAACAACTCCAGGGGATACGGCGGCACTAACGGCGCCTCCGGGGATGGGGGCGGCGGCTAAGGCTCCAGCTTGGGCGGCTGCAGAAATGTGGCTTCCGTCAGGTCCTACAAGAGCGGCATGAGCGGCGGGGCCTTTAAGAGCAGCTCCGGGGGCGGCGGGTCCGACCAAAGTGGCACCCAAACCGATGACAGATGCATGGCTGACGGCCACAGCGGCCAAAAGAAAGACGGCGACCTCGAGAGAAATGCACTTTTAGGTTTTGTTGTTGTTGGTTGTGGTGGCTTACCAGGGAGTTCATGGTGTTGTTGCTCTCAGCTGATTGGGAACTGAATGGACATTACTACCCTGTTGGGTTTATATACAATTTTTTTCAGGAAAAATATACTAACCTTCAACTAATCTTACGCATATTTAGTAGGTATTGCATGGTTACTGTTCTTGGCGACAAGACATGTGCTGGGTGGAGAATACAAAGGATATGGAGTTTTATTAAAAAACGGTTGCATTACTAAATGTCAATTGATACTTGGAGAGAGAATTTATTGTGGGTTTTCTTAAGAAAGACTAAACAATTTCTAAGATTTGTACAATTTAAGGAGTGAATAATTAAGTAGACATGTTCTAAATTTGGTTTATAAAAACACTTTTTATGAAAATGTTGAATTTTTATTAGAAAACGTCATTTTGCAAAGTTTCTCGTCGTTTTCAAAAGTAGATATTTTTTGAGTAAAAGATGCACAAAAGCACTTTTTAATTTCTAACAGACTTATTTATTTTTTTCAGATGTAATTAATATTATTCAATTATTAATTTTGTTCTACTTTCGAACCGGCCTCACGTTCCTGGTAACGTGTTACTTTTTTTTAATTCTTGTTTTTCAAAGTAGTGAAAATTTTTATTATACATTAACCACTGTCTTTATTTTTCCGGAATAATGTTTTATGCAATAACAAAAGAAAATTTTAATTAATTTTTTTTTAAATATTGACTAAACCGAAAACTTTAATTTATTTTTAATTCTAGTTATAGCGTTTTGTTGTAAAACTCGACATAGAAAATTTTAATTTATTTACTAATGAGTTTTCTTTTCCATATAAAACTATCTAAATTCATTTAAACTATAAACTATAAAAAATATTGACTAAATATTTACAACAATTAATTTAACCCTTATTATCTTTTTTTTCATATTGTTATATGTGTAACATATGTGTATTAAAATTACATGTGGATGAGTAATTAATAATTTATACTAAAATAAATGTACCATACGCAGGTACATCCATTATGTTTGTGTAAAAATTTATTGAATTTAACAGATTTTTCATATCACAATGAATATTCGTTTTCTGATTAAGTGTGTGAATAATTAAATGAAACAGATGGTATTTTGTATAATCTTTATGTTAATCTTTTGAGTTAATTAGAGAATGTGACATTCACCTTGATTTTCTGATTCATATAATAAATATAATTAACCATGTTTATTAAAAAAATACCATTAGTGAAAAGCATATAGTTTAATAGTAGTAGTTTGTAGTTTGGGACACCTAGAACTTTTTCTTGATTTTAGATATAAAAAATCAAAGATGGAAAGGTTTGATACTAATTTAAAAACCAATTTGTTACTTTTTTTCTTTAATTATATAGTGAGCGGCAAAATTATAGAATAATGTTATGAATTAAAACTGAAAATATTCTGTTTTGGCAAAAATGCTCGAATAGGCCAATTTCCTTTTTTAAAACTACAACATTTTCAACTTGATAAAATTGTATGTTCGTTTTTTGGTGATATTATTTTATTTTTTTGGTGATTGTTTTTTAAAACTTTATATAATATTAAATATCGATGACGTCATTACTCAAAGACCAAAAAGTGTCAAATTTGAAATAAAGTTTTGTTGTGTATTTTTTAAAAAGAAAATTGACCTGTTCGCCCATTTTTGCCAAAACAAAATATTTCCAGTTTTCATAAGATTATTTCATAATTTTGCCGCTCACTGCTGTATAATAGGTATGTACAATATTTTGTAGAAAATTTCATCACAGAGCACTTTTCAATCTAAAGCTTGTATTGTTTTATTGTCTAGTTAATTAGTTAATTTGTGGATGGAAATTCATCTGTGCTTCCATTCACAGAATTTTTTTTTGTTCTTAGAACTGCATTTCATCAACTATTTCACAAAACTATGAAAAGAATTGTGTAACAAAATCGCATTAACTAAACGCATATAACTCTTTTTTTTAACATTTAACTGTCTGTCGTCGTCGTCAAAATGATGCAATAACCAAAGAAAAATATTTCATGGGTTGGTAACGCCTCTACAAATACGGAAAACGTAATATAATATTTTCACATGAAGGCTGTCCTGTCTTGTATAAATACTAGGGTAGACCCGTCCATAAATCAAACCTCAAACCGCATCACTATGAATTTCCAGGTAAGTATTAACTAATTTATGTTTAAGAAAATATTTTTAAAACTCTCCAGGCCCTTATCGCCCTCTTCGCCGTGGTTTCGGCCACTAACGCCTCCGTCATTGGTCTCGGAGGCATTGCTTTGGCCGGTCCTGCAGCCCCCGGAGTCGTCCTCAAGGGTCCTGCGGCCGAAGCCACAATCGCAGGATCGGATGGAAGCGCAATTGCAGCTGCTGCACAAGCTGGAACCATAGCGGCGGCTCCCAAAATTGGAGGTGTGGTGACTGCTGCAGTCACTCCTGGATTAGTGGCAGCTGCTGCTCCTGTTGCAATTGCAGCTCCTGTTGGAGCCGTTCTTGCAGGACCTTCCGGGACTGTTATAAGCAACGCTGGTATTGGCGCGATCGCTGCACCTGCTCTGATTGGTGGAAGAACGATCATTGCAGGGCCGGCTTTAGGTCTGGGACTTACAGGAAAGCTGATTTAGGACTGACTGAATTTTAAGGATTTTGTGAAGCAGATGTATCTGGTTATATTTATATACATAATTATGTGTTGTTATTGATAAAGACCGATCTAGTTCTAAATTGGGAGAAAAAATATAAATAAAAAATGCTGATTAATGAATAATGTTTTAATGAAAAAATATCTTGGAGAAAATAGTTAATTCTTGATTCAGTAACCTTGTCTATAACGAAATGACAAAAGGAATGGTGTAATTATTATTGCACTTGCTCTTTAAAGTTTTCGAATTAAAATAAAATTGTTGGGTGGAGATATTTCAAGGTTCTATTAAGTATTTTAAGTATTGAAGAAAAACGTGACATTTCTTAAAAGAACATTGTATTCGTTAAATAGGAACTAAATCTCGGATTAATAAAACTAAAAAAAATTGTTCTCGTATTAAAATACTTGTTTAATCAACAGTGGCGAATCTAGCCACCAAAAATTACACTTGGAAGTCTTAGTAATACTCAAAAGTATTAAGAAAAATAATTAAGAACATTTTCACAAAGATTGCTTACATAAAAATAAATAATGCATTGATCTTTTATCTTAAAGACGCATTTGATAGTTTTTCAAAAACTACCAAAATCGGTATACTGGGTGTTCGGTCCAAGTCGCCCTGGCTGATAACTTACTTCTTTTTTTCAAAAAGTAAATATTTAAGCAACAATATTCATTCTTGGCTTTCTTAATAAATGTATCATTTTTTTAGCACATCAGGTGTTGCCGGAAATGCTACCAAATTTAGTTTATCAAATGGAACACCTCTTTTTTTTCCTCCAAACATAATAATTGACATGAAAAATACTGTAAACCACTATTTATTACATTTTGCGTAACACAATGTGAATAAAAAAATGTTTGGATACAGTTAAATTGTTGGTTGACAAATCTAATTTGCCAGTTGATGAGCGAGTTCTCTTATGGAAACTCTTGTATTTTCTTCGACTGATAACAGAACATTCAGATTTCTATTTTTTTGTTCTTCACAAAGAACCCAGGTTTTTTATTTTTAATAAGCGAACCTATTCGTCTCAGTTGTTTTTCAGTTTGCCTAAATTTCCAACGATGTGGGTGAACTCTATTTGAGTATTTTTCTCTATACTATCTTTCAGCTTCCGCTCTATTTTTATTGCAATTAAAAAACAGTTCAAGCTGATCTACCAATTCGTCGTAATTAAAATCATCCATTATTAAAGATCTAACAATTAAACGCTATCTAAACATATTGCTTTTTGCACGAATACCTTGACAAGTAAAATCCGCCTACGTTGCAAAATTTGCAATAAAATTCAAAAATTTAAATTGTTTTCTGAGTGCATTATGTAAAGTAAAATGTAATTTTTACCGTATTTTTCATGGCAATTATTATTGCTTCGAGCAAAAAAACATAGGTGTTCCATTTGAAAAACTAAATTTGATGCATTTACTAAGAAAGCGAGGAATGAATAGTATTATTTGAAAATTTAGTTTTTGAAAAAAAAAAGTAAGTTTAGGTATTATTGGCCGGGGCGACTTGGACCGAACACCCTGTATTTATTCCTTAAAGAGCAATTTGATAAAACAATTTCAAAAAATTCCACAATAAAGGAATATAATTGAAACAAAATTTTGATGGGGTGTGAGTTCTAAAATTTACTTCTATTTGTTGGTGTTTACTGTTTCTATCCGTATTTATCTTTATTTTTTATTTATAATCACAGCTAATGATTAACACCTACAAATACACATGATTTATTACCCAATCAAAAATTGAATTGAGTTTTTTTTTAATTTTGCGATTGTAGAAGCGGTGAAACCAGTATTAAATTATTATTAGTGAGCAAAGGTAAAATTTAACTATTTGCCATTTTTTCTCACGTTTTACAATTTTCCACTTATATCATTTGAAAAAAACGAAAACACAAAAACGATTATTTATTACATCTTTATGAAATAATATAAAAAAATGCAAACAATATCAAACTTATTTAAGCGAATATTAGTACACCACAACTCAATACTGACTAGTTGTTTTCCCTATTTTGTTAGTTTGTTTTCTTTTCGTTTTCAACTTGTCTACCATGTCGACCCCTACTTTGCGGCCTCACATTGTAAATTACAGCCCTTTTGACATTCAAATCTTCTGGAAAATTAGACACAGCCGACAAAGGCACATTCGTCAACTGCAACTGACTTGCATCAATTCCAGATTTAGCCAATTCCGAACTTAACACTCCTTGTTGTGGAATATTTGGCGGTGGAGGTGGTGGTGTTATTCGAGCACCTCCTATTGCAACATTGGGATCTTCGCCTGGTCGGTCTTCATTTGGTTCTTCAGTTGGAGTAAACAAAGCAGGACCAGTAGCTTGACCTGCTGGTGCATATTGTATCTGGTTATTGAGCAAATTTTGTTGATTTTGTAAAGCTACGAATTGTTGCGAACTGAGTTGAGGTTGTCGCTGGTTTGTTAATTGAGGTTGAGGTATGTATTGTAAAGTATTTGGAGTTAGACCTAAACCTGCACTTCCATCTTCTCTTAATATGTGAGAAGACTGAGGTACATACTGTAAAGTGTTTGGGGTAACGCCATACCCTACACTTCCATCCTGTTTTAATACGTTTGGAGTTACACCTAAACTTGCACTTCCGTCTTCTTTTAATATCTGCGGAGGTTGAGGTACATATCGTAAAGTGTTGGGGGTAACACTATATCCTCCAGTTCCATCTTCTCTTAATATGTGTGGGTACTGAGGTACGTATTGTAAAGTATTTGGAGTTACACCTAAACCTGCACTTCCGTCTTCTCTTAATAAGTGAGGAGACTGAGGTACGTATTGTATGGTGTTTGAGGTAACGCCATATCCTGCACTTCCATCTTGTCTTAATACGTTTGGAGTTACACCAAAACTTACACTTCCCTCTTCTTTCAATATGTGCGGATGTTGAGGTACATATCGTAAAGTGTTTGGGGACACACCATATCCTCCAGTTCCATCTTCTCTTAATATGTGTGGGTATTGAGGTACGTATTGTAAAGAGTTTGGAGTTACATTTATACCAACACTCCCTTCCTCCCTTAATATATTTGGGGAGTTCGCAACTGTTCCCAATCCTGGAGTTGTAAGCAAAGTACCGGGAGTAGGACGTAAGCGGGCAATGGGCGTTTTTGGGGTTACTGATATTTCAGGGGGAATTATATTCGCAGGCGGGATTAAAGCTGGATTGAGGTGCAACTGTCTGTTATCAATAGCTAATTGATCATGTATTAACTGAGGTCCAAGATCAATTCGATCATTAGTTCCTACAAGACCGTGAGCAGCAAGATCTTGTTGGTGTATTCTGTTAGGTACTGATGGTGTTGGAGAGTAAACCAATTGAGGTCCTAGATTAATATGATCAGTATTTCCTACAAGGCCTTTGACAGCAATTCCTTTTTGTATAACAGGAGATACAGTTGAAGAAATTATTGGTGATTCTGTTGATGAATCAACGCCTACAACGCCATTTACAGGAGAAGCTGTTGAATGTATCACTGGCAAAGGCGATGCCGTTGAAAACTCATGAACCAAATGATCTTTAAAACCATTAACAGTCACACCGTGTACCCCATAACCAGCGACAGGAACTGGTGCAGCTGTTGAAGAAATTACAGGTAAAGAAGAAACCGTTTCAACAGTTGCTGTAGCTGTATAGTGTGGTAAAACTGAAGCTGTTGCAATAACATTGAGAGAAGTTGGAGTGACACTAGAAATTCTAGCCGGAGCAACTAAATCAGTTTCAAGAACCAAAGGGGAAGGTGGAACTGTTACAGAAACTGGGCTTACAGCAATAGGAGCTGCTGTTACAGTTGCAACAGGTACAACAGCTGGAGCGACACTTAAAACTGGTGTTCCTACAACTGGTGCCCCTTTTATTACAGTTTCTGCTAATACAGCACTACCTAAAATGTTATTTTATTATGCTGTTTTGTGAATTCATATTGTAGATACCTGTAATTGTGGTTGAAGCAGGCCCGGCAATAATAGATTGTGACCCTTGTGTAACTATTCTGCCAGAAGGGCCAATCAAGTCAGAACTTTGTTTGTTTTCTACAGGTGGGGAAGGTACCGCTACCGCTTCTATAGGTACCACGGGTTCTACAGGTACTACTTCTTCGGCAACTACGATTGGTTCAAGATTAGTGTGCACTTCTCCACCTTCAGCAGCTGAAGTTATAACACTTCCGTCGGGCCCTTTGATGATGGTTTCCGAATTGGGGCCCTTAAATAAGCCCCCGATGCCTCCAGGGTTTACCGGCAAACTGGGGGCGGCGACAGCTATCGCTACGTAGCCCAAGGCCAGTAGTGAAAGCTTAAAAAATGTTCAAATTAATTTTGATGATCCGTTAATGAATTAGAAAATTATGAATTGGCTACAAAGTGAGTTCAAGCGTAGTAGTGCATGAAATGTATAAAAATGTATCGGAAATGAATTGGTATTACCATAAACTTCATTGCAGAATCTGTGAACTGTAACTAGGATCTGACTTAATGTCATTTATCTTTAACTTCTGTTTTATACCGCTATGCAACCTTGCGACATTTTTCTTTTTCCGTTACCACACCTTTTCTTTGCATAAATGTGAAGTTATTCATAATTACGAAATTGTCGACAAATATGAAGTTTTCTTTATCGCGTGCAGGTGGAAATGACACATTTTACAAGTTTTTCAGACTTCTAATTATACAGTTGTTAATTAATATTTTTTCAAAAATGAATACGTTATGATTTACGGCTTTCATTGATAGTAAGCCAAGAATCGAACAATTAATTAATTAATTAATAATTAATTTTTGGCATGTAGTAAAGCAAAATTCTTACAATTGAAGACAATTTTTACTTTAAAATAAAATTACTGCCTTCTTAATAATATTTTATAGATACACGAAAAATCAATACGAGTAGAGTACTTATGGAACAGTTTTTTTTTAATCTTTCATTTATATATTTATTTTTTGGAGGTAAACAAAACATAACAACATAAAAAATGTTTAATTTTGAGCAAAAAATGCTACCTCGAAAGACGTAACTGCCTAAATACACACAATACGCTAACAAAACTCAATAAACAAAAATTATTTTTTAAAATATGAAATATGAAAAAAGTTACCGTGTTTTCCTTGTTGCCATTTTCTGAGTAGATTTGAAACGGACTACATTTTTACTTCTCCTTTAACTATTTTTTCTCCTTTAACCATTTTTTTTTGTATAAAAAAAATCGGGAAATATTTTCTGCATGACCTTTAGGACGTGGGGTTAATTTTTCACACTCTAAATTATACAAATGTAATTCACATACATAGTTGATTAGCAAAAGTGTAGAAAATATAATTTAGAGCTTTCCTTTGTTGCATACCAATAAAATAAAACAAAAATTTTTTCAAAAAATTCTACAATAAACAAAATTTTGATGGGGTGTGAGTTCTAAAATTTACTTCTATTTGTTTGTGTTTACTGTTTCTATCCGTATATATCTTTATTTTTTATTTATAATCACAGCTAATGATTAACACCTACAAATACACATGATTTATTACCCAATCAAAAATTTGATTGAGTTTTTTTTTTAATTTTGCGATTGCAGAAGCGGTGAAGCCAGTATTAAATTATTATTAGTGAGCAAAGGTAAAATTTAACTATTTGCCGTTTTTTCTCACTTTTTACAATTTTGCACTTATATCATTTCAAAAAAAACGAAACTTCTTCTACTTTAACTATATCTTTTTTTTTGTATAAATGTACTACAAAATCGAGAAATATTTTCTGCATGACCTTTAGGACGTGGGGTTAATTTTTCAAAACAACAAATACAAAATCATCCATCATTTATTCATTGAACACATTTTTACAGGTATGTTGCATAAATAGCATACAGTAATGTACAAGAAAATTCATGATCCTGTTCCTCGCGATACTTATTTTTGGTAGATCAAGTGTATGATTTTAAAGGCTTCCATAACACCATCGGCACAGACTCCCTCAAACATAAAACTGCTTCCAGTAGCGCAAAAACCGATCTGTCATGGCAACCTTTGTGTGATATTGGCTTAGTTCAGTCTTTTACCAGCCATGATTCCCATGATGGCCCAACCCAACATTGGCGGTGGGTCCCCAAAGCCCATCAGCGGCGACTTTTCCCGAAGGTCCAGCGACGACAACTGGGGCAGTTCCAGGCCCATGGATGGCAGCCCCATGTCCACTGACTCCAATGGTGCCACCTCCGTGAGTGACGACTCCGAGACCGTGTCCAAGACCGAGTCCGTGACCCAGAACGAGTCCATGACCCAGAGCGGGTCCAGCGACCACAGCACTAGCCACAGGAGCGGCCAAAACCGCCCCATGTCCACCCCAAACTCCATGTCCCAAGCCCAGTCCATGGCCCAACCCCAAGCCCAGCCCATGGCCTACAGGGCCAATGGCGCCATGCCCGGTGACGATTCCCGAGGGACCCGCGACTACGGTCCCCCCGATGTGGCCCGAGGGAGTGGCGGAGGCCACAGCCAGAATGGCTAGAGCTGCAATGATCTAAAAAAGCGTTGGCATTTTTCTTTGTTTGCCGGCTTACCAATCCGTTCATGTTTTTGTATGCTGAACTAAACAATATGCTTGTCGAGCCTTTTACCCTGGCATATATAGGTATAAGTGACCTTCAGGAGTGCATTCAGGAATTGTTCAGTTCAAAAAAGACACCAGGCAATGGGTTTGTAGATTATAAATTATAATTTATCTCAAGTGCAAGAACAACGTCAGGAAAAATAACGCAATTAGCCATTGAAATGAAAGTTGTCTAGATGAATGTGCAGTAAAAATGTAACGGGATATTACCGTATATGACATCGATAAATTCTTTTATTTTATGGTGAGGCAGCGTGGACACCACATAAATTATTCGATTTATTTCGCTATTCCACAGCATTAGCATTGGCTGCTCCGTGTGTTTAGTGTTTGTAATAAAAAAAATTATGAGCATTTTACACTATAATAGCAATCATATTAGATTAGCAGTAGCTGTAAAGAATAAAATTTAATTAAATGTGAAAGAATGCATATGCTACAAAGAGGCAAATAAATTTTAGACACCGTATAAAAACCACAAGATATTGTTGTAACCGCAAAATGAATAAATAAGTAACTATTTAAAGATTTTTCAAGCTCAAGCATTAATGGTAATAAATGATTTAATTTAGCAATAAATAAAACTGACTATAATTGAAATTTTTGTTAATTCCAAAGCTGAAAAAAGGAATTTTTATCTGCAGGCAAAAACTGTAGCTTTGGTAAATTTATAGAATATTCTGTCATTTTGCAAAAAAATTAACACTTACCTAATTGTGACACCTATTAAATGATCTTTTTAACGACTACAATTAGTGAAAACTAAAAGTACTTGAAGTAAATTGTTGAATTGTTGTTGTTTCCAAACAAGGCGATAGCCGAGTCTGGAATAGAAGAGGAGTCCCTAAAAACTTTTTAGGTGACAAACAAAAAATTTTTACAAAAAGTTCTCGAAACCACCAAATTGATCTAAAAATATGTTTATTGTCTACATGACATTTGTAAACATAATATACTTAGTCAGTTTTAAGATAATTATTAAAGCAACATAAAAAACCCTCTACACAATGGATTTTTTGAGGCCAAGTCCGCTAAAGTCGTATGACTACATTTTTGAGGACTATTCGTCAAAAGATCAATTTTGCGGCGTGTTTTGAGTTAAATTTGAAAATAGTTATTTCTGCTACAAATACCTAAAGTACAGTTTTTGCGGACGAACTGTTGCTGTTTTCAAACAAGGCGATAGCCGAGTCTGGAATAGAAGATAAATCTCTAAAAACGTTTTAGGTACGTGTTACAAACATTTTTTTGCTCTGAAAAAACAAATTCACATTAATTTTAAAAAAAATAGCCAAAATAGTAACCAAATTGACTTTTTCGTCCGAAAAAACTGTTTTTGAAGATTGAGTCCTTAAAATAACTATTTTACGTACTATTTTATTAAATCCGGAAAAGTCTCATTTTAGGGCGTATACAAAAAATAGTCATTTTAGTGAACAAATACAAAAAATGTATTTTGTAGTCTATCGGTTCCTTAAAGAGGGATGACTTGAGCATTTATTTTATTTGCAAATAACATTTATAAATAACTGCTTTGCTTACTATTCGCATCAAATGAAAGCTTTTTTAATTTTCTAGAAAGGTGTGTTGTCATTCCAAAAAAAACGCTTTTTTTTCTCAATAAACTCAAACTTTAAAACTTTGAAATTTTAGAATAACATACAAATTACATTGTTTAAGAAAGCTGTGTTGGCAAACTATTATTTATGTACAATTTTTTTGATATAATTAGGTAATACTTTTAAAAAGGTATTTGTTTAGCTTAATTATTGTATTATTTTTTCAACTAGAAAAACTGTCTAGTCGTGAAATGTTACTAGACATTTAAAAGATTTCAAAGGTATAACAAAAATCGTTGTAAATACCTAATTATGTTTTATTCAAAATACTCGTAGCAACTAGTATCTTTCTACGTTCCTAAAAGAGTTTGTCAATAAATTAGATGTTAATTACTCTTATTAATTAAATATTATGAATAATAGCTTTTGTACAGGTGTATGTATTAGGTAGGCTGACAAACATATCAAGTTCACAATTCGTAGTTTACGTTTAATCTGCAAAATCGCTCTTCTAATAAATTTATAGACACTTTTAGTCATCCTTTTCTAACCTCTGATGCAGACCTTCTAAGTTTGTAAACAGTTCCCATCTTTCAGCACACATTTTTTTATTTATTTTTTAGCACAATTTATGCAAAAGGGTAGGTAGCCCCCTCTTCCCTAGAATCTTTCTTTTTACGCCAATTTTTTTCTTGAAAACAAATTGCAATTATTTATAAATTATACTGGGTTAAATCAAGGACCATTTTTACTAAAAAAACGATGTTTCTTCAAGTGTTTTTTGTTTTTAGAAGAATAATTAATATTTTTCTCGTCAACTACAGTCGGCAATAAACGTGTAGTAACAATTGCTAATATGTACTTTTTTTTTTCTTTTAAACCCTCATTATTTCACTTATAATTTAATTGTTTTAACAGAATACCGAACAAATAAATTAAGACGAAGAAATTAAACTCTTCTTACATTTTACATAATCAGTCATTTATTCAGTGCATATTATACTTAAATCACAACACAAAAAACAGCTAAGTTATCATTAACAAGGCAGTGAAAAACCAGTTTTCGTGAATCCGAGTTACCAAGCTTTGCCTAGCCCTATGGCATTTAGCCCGATATTGGCGGTAGGTCCCCAGAGCCCATCAGCAGCAATTTTTCCAGAGGGTCCAGCCACCACAACTGGAGCGGTTCCGGGTCCACGGATAGCAGCCCCTGCACCACTCGCGCTAATGGTACCACCTCCATTAGTGATAGCTCCAACTCCCAAAGGAGCGGCGACAGCGATAGGGGCAGCAGCAAGGGCAAGAGGGGCGGCGAGCCCTAACCCGGGCCCGGAAATCACGGCGCCGGCAGTGGGGGCGGTTAACACAGCGCCCCCACCCCAACCAAGTGTACCGATGGGTCCAGCGATTCCTGCAGGGCCTGCGAGCACTGCTCCTCCCAGGATACCCGAAGGGCTGGCAGCGGAGAGGGCGACCAAAGAGGCAATGACGGCAACAAACTTAAAAGAAAATTAAATAATTGTGGAAAATTTTATGGTCACTTACCAGAGTGTTCATGGTTGATGGGTTTGTTTGAATAAACTGTATTTTCTTCATATTTACCCTCCTATATATAGGTAGTTGCTACTACAAGTAGACGACGGCCTTCGTGTTACTGTACCCATAATTAATTCAAAATATTGTTGCCTACTTTAAGACTTCATGACATTTCATCATCTCAAAGATCAGTTCAAATTTCAAGTAGATTTAGCTTTAATAAACAGCTTGTTTTAATTTTTGACTTCCAAAAATTTTGAGTTTTTAATAATTAAATTTAAAACGGTTTTTTTTTTTTAATTCCCATGCTAAAATAAGCGCTCCTTATGAAACAGCTCTTGTTTGTTGCATCAACTCTGCGCTTTTACTTGCTGACAATGTCCGATATAATCTACTAAATCTAAAATTATTGTTATTATGAAATGAGTAATTGAAATTGTGACATAAAAATCAATCAATCGAGTCATCCGTTAGAGGGTAATTCCGGGTAAGGTGACACACCTTCCTCTAAGTCCTTGCCGTTTATTTGACATAAAATTAATAATATTATCGACTTTTAGAAAGATTTACAGTGTTAGAATAAAATTTTTAATGTGGCTGGGTTGAGTAACCCTGACTTACCCTTTATTATGTCTATCATGGTGTACCATATTCATATGGTACTTTATCTGAATTTTTTGCACTTGTATTCATGGTTCAATGGATCTTATTACTTAACTGGGACATGCAGCATTCCTGGTATTATCCTAGCCGAGCTAAATTGCTAAATTCTATTAATAAAGTGTAATATGCAAATAAAAATCAATATGGCTTTTTTAATTATTCTAATTATACATTTTTAACTTAATTTTAACTGAAATAAAAAGTGGTAAAAGATTTCTTTACTTTAATTTAACGAAAAGATGCAAACAAAGAGTAACGTAAGATTTTCCAGGTCAAAGTAAAGCGATGTAACCCAACTTTCCTCTACAGATTGCGCCAGAACTCGCGCCACAGAGAAAAAAGGCAAGATATCAGGAAGATGGAAAAAATATTAAAAAAATTCTATCTATAAAAAATTTGAAGTTATGAGAGTTTAAATTTTACACTTTGACTCTATTTATTTCTGTTGGAAATATAATTTTCCAAGTTTTTTTGGTACAGCCTATTAGAAGGGGAAACAAGGAAGCTGTATCCTTAATTGTAACTCTAATTTGTGGCTTTTATTGGCAAAATTTTTCTACCTTTACTAAATAATTATAAAAAAAAACATATACAAGATCATCCGTATCATTAAATATACATAAAAAATGTCAAATGTCAAAAAATAAATGTCAAAATTTAGATAGAATTTTTTAAACATTTTTTTATGTTCCTGGTATCTTATCTTACTTGAAATTTTTTTTTAGGGCGCGAGTTCTGGCGCACTAAGTTACATCATTTAAAAATTAGAGGACGCCAATAAAATTATGATTTTTTTTGTTTAAATTAACAACTAATTACATTATTGTTATTTAACACAAACATACATGAAGACATTAGAATCTAAAAAAATATAACACAATTTTAAAAACAATAGTAATAAATGGCCAACATTAAATTATTTTTTTACTCTAAAACTAAGACCGATAAAAAATTGTTTAAAAATTATGTTTTGTTTGAATAAAAAAGTAGTTATGCCACTCGGATTACGTATAACAAAAAGATGGCTTAAAATGTGTCAAGTTGTTAATAAGTAAGTACTTAACAGTAATGATAAAATAAAAGAAATAACACCAAAACATTTTATAAAAATTTTAATTTTATAAAAATCGATTAATCCATTAAAAAGTTATTATAGTTATTTATTATACAAGACGATAAAGAAATTGTTTATCTACGACTGAAAAGGTTAAGTTTATGAGTTACAAAGTCACGAGTGGACTTTTTGCAAGATATTTCGTTTTATTTTGTACTCACCTACCAGAATTTCTTGAATATAAACAGTAGATAAAAATTACTTTATTTCACTAGACGATAAAAAACTACTTTATCTACTGAAATTAGTTGATAAAATATAAACAGTAGATAAAAATTACTTTATTTTACTAAACGATAAAAGACCACTTTATCTACTAAAATTAGTTGATAAAATTACTCTTTAACATTGAGTACAAAATAAAAATAATTTTTAAACTGTGACGCTTTCTAACATTTAACGGTACAACTTGGTATAGAGGTAAGTTGGGTTAAATCTTTTTATTTTGTCCTGGAGAATCTCAGGTTATCTTTAGTCCCCATTTTTTCGTTACACCCTGTATTTTGAAAAAATAGACTGTAGTAAACACGAAAACGTTTTATTATCTACTTATATACAAAATATCTAAAAAGTCGTTAACATTTAAATGAGAGTGATGAGATACAGTTGTGACTTAAATATTAATTAATTGTTGTGAATCCGTAACAAACGTCATTGCAGTTTTACCATCCATGGCCCCATTTAAGTCCAACATTCTTAGTGGGCCCCCAGAGGCCATCAGCTGCAATTTTTCCAGAAGGTCCAGCAACAATAACGGGAGCGGTTGGGGGTCCTCTGATAGCAGCCCCGTGTTCGCTGACTCCAATGGTACCACCTCCTTTAGTGATGACTTCAAGACTGTGTTCCACGGCAATTGGGGCCGTCAAAACTATACCATGACCCCAACCTCCACCAAGTCCCCAGCCTCGACCACTTTCTAAACCTTCACCCTCTCCCCCATCCCCGTCTTCAGATCCAGCAGGGCCGATCGGGCCGTGATTGGTGACTATTCCAGAAGGGCCTTTAAGGATAACTCCTTCTTCACCAGAAGGAAAAGCGTAGCAAAATGTGACCAAAGCCAAACAAGAGACCAACTAAAAAGACAACCAAAATAATTTATTTGGTATATTACCAAAATGTGCGACTTACCAAAGCGTTCATGGTTTTAGTAGATAGGTAAGTATGTATGTAAAGCTGGAAAACTTGACTGTGATTAAGTGGCCCAGATCCTAGTTTATATAGTAAGAACAGACCTTCAAAAGTATTAGGAAATTGGTTGATTGTAAAATAATGTAAATGCGTAATTTTACAAATTTTTGTCGATGGGGCTAGTTATTGGTAACTTATGCTTAATTGAAGGAAACTGATTTATTGCAATTACTTTCTTCTTATTTTTACATCTATGCAAGGTGGCTGTCTAGGATTTTACGTGTATTAATTTCCCATTTAAATATATCGGAAAGATGAGTAGTTTTGATAAAGCGAATTTGAAAAGTCAAAACATATGGCCATTTAACTATTTAGTTTTTGTACAAAAATTTCTAATTTATCAACATTATCTTTAAGTTTACAAAAAAAACACATAAACAAAAACAAAACAACAGATTATTCAACGAGCATATAATAATAGTAGCCATTAGAGTAGAGTAGAATACTCTGCTTTATCTACGACTATGAAATATTTTCGATTTTAGGTACTGACAAAATTAACGTTTAGAAGTTGACGTTTTAATTTTATTAAGAAAAATGTGAAATTGCGTTCAAACAGTAGGCAGGTCGTAGAGTATGACTTTTTATTCCACTCGTGGAATATAAATAACCGTGGAATATGAATTTATATTCCACGGAGTGTAATATGTACTAAATTATGTGGGTATGAATACGCCTATAACATTATTATTGTAGATAAATAAATTTTTAAATAAAATTTTTAAAAAATTGAATACAAACACAATTTTTTTAAAGATAGTCTTCAACAGATATGCCACAAATAAGATAACAGGAAATGGAGTGGGAAAAAATATGAAACTAAGCAATTTCTGAATACACGAAATTTATAAAAAAATAAAATTTCTGATTGAAAAACTAATAAAAATATGATTGTTTTTAAATAATAATCTTTAAAAAAATTCTATTTGTGTTCGAGTTTTGTTGTTATGGTAACTATTTTTTTCTAAAAATTTTATATCAGAAAACTACAATTATTGTATAAACGAAATAGATACATTAAATTTTCATAGTTAAAAACCGAATAGAAAACGAAGCGATAAGCCTTAAAAAAATAGTTATCGAAAAGAATATCAAACTTAAATTGCTCTTGTCAAGTAAATACATAAAATTCGGTATTATTATTATATTCAGATAATTTTGCCTTTTCTTTGTGTTATTTCAGTATGAAATTAAATTTTTATGGGTTTTCACTTGGTGTTACTATTTGGGCAAAGTTTTTGCAAACTTTATTCATAAATTTTCTTTAGGAAACAATGTGCAGAAGATTATCGTTGAAAAACCTCAATTGAGTTTATAAACCTAAAAAGTTATAACTTTAGATTCAAATAATGTATATAGATACTTTAAAGCTTGTGTTGAAAAAAATATACAGTATTTGAACAAAAATTTCCAGGTTATGACATCTTCAAAAATGATAATATTTTATTTTTTTGGGGGAGGGGTTCCGTTGTTTTATGTTTTCTCATTAGAAAAAATTATGACTAGGTAATCCACCAAAACCCAAAAAATACCACAAGATTATTATAGTGTTTTTTATTTCATAGTTACTATTTTTATTCCAATTTCGGTTCTTTAAAGTTATAACCTTCAATGCCAAGGGCATCACTTATGTGTGAATTTGAAATATTAAAACAAAACATTAAATAAGTCCCTACAACAATTTTGCGACTTTAAGTTATAAAATAAAAGTATCACTTTGCTATTGAAAGTGTAGTTAAACTCTTAAAGGTAAATAGGTAACTGAAAGTCATTTATACAAGTAAGATAAGATACTAACAACATGCAAAATATGTTTAAAAAATTTTATTTTATTTATTTATTTTTTGATATTTGAGTTTTTTTATCTCCATTTAATGTAACCTCTTCTCCAATACCCTGCAGCAAAAAAGCATGTACATAAAAATATTTTTCCATCAGAAATAAATAGTGTCAAAGTACAAAATTTAAAACCCTATAATTTCAAAATTTTTATAGATAGAATTTTTTTAACATTTTTTCCATGTTCCTGGTATCTTAATTTACTTGGCATTTTTCTGTAGGGTGTGAGTTCTAATACAACTAGTATGCTTATTAGTTTATATTTAGAATAAAAAATATTACTTTTAGTAAAATATTCAGATTCTAAAAATAGCAGAAGACTTCCAATACAAATTTATTTTATTTGAAAACGTTGCGGAAAACTCATAATATATTGTATAATACGTGAAAAACCTCTATTATTATTAGTATTGAAAAATAGCTAGTCAAACATAATTTTCCAATTTTGGAACTTTTTCAAAGGATATCAAAACAAGTTGATAAAAACAAAGTAATTACTCTCTCGTCATTTATTGACAATTTACACATTCTAATATAAATAATCTACAAAAATATACAAAAAATCTATAACATAAGAGGAGGCAGTAGTTGTTCAAACGATCAATCCATCAAGTTTTCCACTTTACCAGCCATGGCCCCAGCCCCCATGTCCCCAACCTCCATGTCCATGTCCGCCGGTAAGCCCCACATTGGCGGTGGGTCCCCAGAGGCCATCAGCAGCGATTTTACCAGAAGGTCCGGCAACTACAACTGGAGCAGTTCCGGGTCCCTTGACGGCAGCCCCATGAGCGCTAACTCCAATGGTGCCCCCTCCGTTGGTCACGACTCCAAGACCGTGTCCAAGAGCCACACCATGTCCAAGACCGAGTCCGAGACCATGCCCAACACCAAGTCCAAGACCATGTCCAAGTCCGAGAGCGGGTCCGGCCACAACGGCGGTGGCCACAGGGGCGGCGGCAACTACGGCTCCATGGCCCCAACCGAGTCCGTTACCCCAACCGAGCCCATGGCCCAAACCGACTCCCAAGCCCAAACCGTGGCCAGCAGGCCCGATGGGGCCGTGGTTGGTAACTACTCCAGCTGGGCCGGCGACGATGGCACCGCCGTGGTGACCAGAGGGCACGGCGCAGGCGAAGGCGGCCAAAGAGGCGACGGTAACGGCGAACTGCAAAAAGGTGGTTACTTGAGACAAGACATTAATTAGAGGTTTACCAAAGCGTTCATGGTGAAGTGTAAAGCTCGAGAACTTGACTGACTTCAACGGGCTTTTACCCCAGTTTATATAGTTAAGAACGACCTTGCGACATTAAGGAATTGTCTACTTGAAAAATTATTTAATTAATCTACACTGGATCTGATTGGAACGGGATTTCAAGAACGATACCGTTAAAGCGCCAGGAAGGGGTTATAGAAAAAGAGCTATTTTATATTAAAAAAGTAACTAAATTAAATATGCATGAAATAATCCAAACCAGCAATTATCTTATCATTTTACATACAAAGTTTTAATTACATACAATAGTTTCAACAATATTTGACATCAAAGAAATAAAATTGTTCCTGAAAATATTAAAATAATTCAAAAATCAATTATCTTTAAAAATTTTGAAACATTATTGTAAACTCTAATAATAACAGGAAATTTAAAAAATAATTATTACAATTGAGAAAAAAAATAGTAACAGTGATGAGTAATTTCATCGATATCCTTGCTATGAAAGTTAACTCATTTTTATGGTTCAGATCCTGGCTTGTAGGTGCAAGAAATTGGGCGTTTACACACATAACTTGAATGTGCACTGGACCATGATTGCCTTTCCGAACATAACGTCTTTAATATGTCACGCCCTTTAGCTCAGGTCTATATATCTCACTAAAAATAACTTGCCTTAAGACATTTTACCGTAAATTTTCATTATAATAATAAATAGTTGCAATAGCCATTTTGATACAGTTTACTTGGACATTTTTCGATCAGGAGGTAACAAATAAGTCTTTTTTATTACGAGGAGATATTTAAACAAAGAAATAATAAACCTTTGACCTTAGAACAGATACTGCACCAGTTGCAATTATTTATAATGCAGGTCGATTTGGTTGCAGAGATACATTAGCGAAAGTATGTCTTACCTTTAAAATATAAAATTTTCAATTACTGTATCGTTTATGGTTAAGGTCATTCTATGTTCCCAGAAAGTATTTATTATACAAACGTAGGTGTACTATTATTACAGATTTATTTCATAATTTGTGATCTGTAACAATTAAATATCATTGTTTTTCATTCATAATCAGGATATATTCTAATTGCGGTCATTATTTCTTTAATCATGTTGCTGTTCGTAATGGTTTAGATCAACTCAACAAACATGTCAGCTTTACCAGCAATTACAAGGAAAAATGTTCACACGGTTTTCAAGAGGAAATTATTCATATTTTTATTGAAGTTGTGTATTATTAATCGAACCGCCAGAAGGAGGGAAAATGTATCTAACTGTTAGTCGAAACATAAATCGTAGAAAGTTTTATTTTTTCATTACCAACATGTCACATTTTAAAATTTACATTTCGACTCATACATTTCATGATAACAAAAATAACTATAAATCAGCTAATGCCGGAAAAGATTTTCATTGCAGCAATAAACTGTCATCGTTTTAGTCTGAATTACTAATGCATTTGGTTATTTGCAATCGGACTAAAAGCAAAAACTATAACTGAGCTTAATTATCTAAAATTAAAGATCATTTACATAATTTATTAACCTTCACCACAAGAGCATTGACAATTTACATACCTACATTTCAAAAATTGTAACCTAGAATTGAACAGAGCTTTACATTTCTTTGGACTAATAATGCAAATAATCGGGGAATAAGATCTCTGTATCATTATTTCAAACTGATTATTGATTTTTAGGGCCCAAAATAAATCTCACTTGTTTTTCAAAGATTCGATGAATCACAAAAGAAACTTTTAAATTGCATAATTTTCACTTTGTAAAATTTTACGATTTATTTTTTTTTTAGAAAATCACAACAAAAGTTTTACTTACTATAAAAATGTTCTTCAATAATGGAATCGATTTGTGTTAATGAAAATAACATATTTTCAAACATTTCGTTTAATTTGAATTAAAAATTGAAAAAGTAAATCTTGTATAATTAAATTAGGACCTCATTATTGTATCATTTTGAATCAATTATTTAATTAAACAAAATTATATTTTAAAATGTGTTTTTTTGCTTACTAATAACCCTAATTGTTTTGTACCAATTCGATTTATTGGGGCAGGTTTTAGAAACAGGTATAATGAGGCTAATAAGGTCGCTAATCCTTAAGGTGAACTGCGCTCAGTAGCATCACAACAGGGTACCCACCCATAGGTTGGTTCTTCGAACTTTTAGTTAATTTAGAGTTCGGAAATACCCTGTAGTAAAAGGTATGTTTTAATAAAAAAAATTATGAAAAAGAAGCAAATAGATCGATCCACTTTTGTAAAATGTCTATCTTATAAGTTTGGCCAAATTTTTTAAAACACTGTTATGTAATGTACACCTATACATATTTGTGTTCAGTAAATGTAAATAATAACCTATTTCGTTTTTGTTTATTTCAAAAAGCAAAGTACATTTTTGCTACTGGTTCATCCCTATTGTCATCAGCGTGGGAATTTAATTTTTAATAATTTAATTCTTTACATTACGCTGAGACATATTGACCAAACTGAGCGCAGTTCACATAGGGATTAACGCAACGCAGGTATGTAAAAAATTTCTGAGCGCAGTCCACTGTAAGGATTAAAATGCCGTGCTTGAAGTGAGCGCAATTCACCCGATTTATTGTGTCCATTAAAAAATGCAACAAGTCCTGTTTATTATGTTGATTTTAAGAAAACATGGAATTGGATTGTTTCGACTTGTTTCGTTCTGTTTAGCTCATTTTTTTTTTAATTTTTGCTAATTTTAGATTTTATTAAGTGTTCAATTCGTCTTGAAATTTGCAAAAATAAGTATTTCGACCTTCTTTATATATTGATATATATTGATAAAGGTAAATTAAAACAACAGTTAAGTACTGATTTCTTCTAAAGTTAATTAAAAATTAATTTATTATTATTTTTCTGATTCTTAGAAGAATTGTCAGGAATTAAAAATTCTTTTTCAGATTCAATAATTATTTATTATTCATCACGTACTATATTAATACACATAAATAAGCATTTACAAAGTACACACAAGTGGTCATAAAGCGCATGTTGTAGTCACTGACCGTGGGATTGTTTTTGTACCATAATTTACCAGTGGTGGCCATAATGTCCATAGTGTGGCACTCCGTACAAGCCGTCGGCGACGATTTTTCCAGAAGGCCCGGCGATGACAGCAGGGACGGTGGCAGGACCTTTCACAGTAACCCCGTGAGCACCAAGTCCAACTAATCCGTGTCCATATCCCAATCCGCCGTATCCCAAACCATAGCCGAGACCCAGAGCTGGTCCAGCAACGACGGCAGTGTGAGCCACAGGGCCGGCGACGAGGGCCCCATGCCCATATCCCAATCCCAATCCCAAGCCAAGACCGTGTCCATGACCGGCAGGCCCGATGGGTCCATAGGGAGTCACCACTCCGGAGGGCCCTGCCACGATAGCCCCAGCACCGTGGCCGATGCCTCCAGCACTAGCGGCGGCGGCCAAAGCGGCAAAAACAGCTACAAACTGAAAGAAATTCCAAGGTTGAATGTAATAGCATGCAAGCCGATTTTTACAACAGTGTTATAATTTTACAATAAATTTATGAACTGTGATAATTATGAAAGTCTTATCGAGAGGAATGTGTTAGCAAGAACCGTTATTTATTTTGAGTTTGTGGACTTACCAAAGCGTTCATGATTGTGAGAAGATCTGAAGAGTCTGAAGACCCGATCCTTTTACCCCAGTTTATATAGTAATAATTTGGCCTTCAATGTGCGAAATAATGGTTCGATTTAAAAATGAATTGCTCGCTCAAGAATACCACCTATAGCTACGAAACGCCGCGCCCTTCCTCATTTTTTGCTACATTTTTTCAAAAAATTGTTGAAAATTGTTAGATTATCTTAAGTACAAGTCGTGCAATTGTAAGATTTCTCTGCAATTTCAAATGTTACACACCCATTTTGGATATGCTTAGATCTGAAACGTGTATTATGTCAAGTTTTCAGAGAATAGTTACTATCGATTTAAATTATGTAATCGTTAATATGACATTGCACTATTGTAATGAAGGCATTTAAATAAGTAGATATTGTTGAATTGCAATTATCGGTATAGTACTATGTGTGTGACATTTTATAGTACAGTCGTTTAAGTGCCTATTCAATTGTCTGGTAAATACCCATTCATCTTCACACTGGAGCGACATAAACGTGAGCTGATCATCCTATGAATGAACAGCTTTTCGTAAGCAACAAAAATTGACGCTTTTAGCTTGTTCATTTTTCGAGCTCCACCATGGGGATCTCAGTTATTATAAGAGATGCGAGGTCGGTTAAATTAGGGAAAAGTTGCGCATTTTTGTGATGAACAATAATCTGAAAGAAAATTTAATGTGTCATTTTTAATTTTTGATTTATTGGAAAAAAACGTTAATGTGTAATTTTCATTTTTATTTTTTCAAGCGAAAACTAAAAGACCTAGACGTTTTTAACTAGGGCGTTCTTAAGGCAATTTTTTCTAATTTGCATTTATAATACGTTTATTAACGTCTCCAGTAGGAGTCGTTTATGGCTATCTATAAAAGCACACTGTACTTTAATGAATTTAGGGTTATTTAGTTTTTGTATGCCGCTTCTGAATTGTCAGGTAACAAATTTTGTGTTGTTGCTTCGGCAATTTCGCGAATTTCGGTCGGAGTGCAAACTAAATTCTGTTGGCTCATATTTTATTTATTATTATTTTGTTGTAACACTAATAACTAATAATTTGTAAATTTTATTTTTAATGACAGACGGCAGAAATGATTCAAAAAATCAGGTGGGCGCCGAGTGTTACCAACCGATACCAACTAATTCTCTAGACGACAAAAATATATTTTTTTAATTAAAATAAGAAAAAAGGGGGCACAAATTAGAAAAAATAGCATAAAATACTCGTTTTATAATGGCATTGGCGCACTCATCCCATAGAAAACTCGCCTACGGCTCGTTTTCTAACTTGGGATTCGTGCGCCAAATCAACCCTTATAAAACTTGTTCTTTAATATACTATTTTACAAGGAATCTAAATCTGTCATTGTATTTTCCAAGGCGCTGTGGATGTCAGAGTTTCAACACTCACTTTAGATTTTATTATGGATGCCATATTCGAATTCTTTATTTTTAAGTCTTTTTGTTTCTGATTACAACGATGTATCACACGATATGATCAAATTTTACATGCTATTTAAAATTAAGGTAAAGCGTTTTTAGTAAGAATGCTTTGGAAAAAACGACAATTTTAATTAATAAACTAAATCTTTTATAACATTGTGTTGTTTTGTTTTGCGAAGATTAAATTCTAGTTTATAACGTTGTTCCTATTTCAAAACCTTAGTTTTTAAGTAGGTAATCTTGACGAAAATGTGACTTCCAGATCTAAATTTAAGTAAACTGTCAAAGTGTCAAAATCTAAGTAGTTTGTTAATTAAAATTGTTGGTGTTTTTTAGTTTATTCCAAAGTACTCTTCTCAAAAACACTTTTTCTTAATTGTGATCAGCATGTAAAATTTGATTATATCGTGTGATACATCGTTGTAATCAGGAACAAAAAGACTTTTCAAAAATACGGACATCAAATATGGTGTCCACAAGAAAATACGAAGTTGAGTGTGGTAACACTGATATCAAGAGCGCCTTGGAAAATACGATGACAGATTTAGATTCCTTGTAAGAAAGTGCCTTAAGAACGTCCTAGTTAAAAACGTCTAGGTCTTTTAGGTTTCGCTTGCAAAAATAAAAAGGAAAATTACAAATTTCCATTTTCTTCCAATAATTCAAAAACTAAAAATGACACATTAAATTTTCGTTCAGATTATTGTTCAGCATAAAAATGCACAACTTTGCCCTAATTTAACTTTTACTAAATGAACCACTACTCATACAGTATGACATATACAAGGTGTTTCAGAACTCGCGCCCCAGAGAAAAATTTCAAGTAAGATAAAGATACCAGAAACATGAAAAAATGTTTAAAAAATTCTATTAGCAAAAAATTTTGACGGTTATTTTTTGACATTTGACATTTTTTACGTCTATTTAAGATCTTGAATAAAGTCGCGGTCAATTCATAGTTGTGTAAATCCGACTTTAAACATACAATTGTTTTTTAGGGACATATCTATAAAAAATGACAATACTGAAAAAGCCTGTCACAACTTTTGACACTATTTAGTTACTTCTGCGACCAACTTTGACAAAACCCACACATTAGAAGTGGCAGGCAAAGTGCTGCCCACTTTGAGATAAATTAAATGGCCACTATATGAATTGACAGCGACTTTATGGTTTTTTTTTTTTATAATTATTTTGTAAAAGTCCAAAAATTTTAACATTAAACATAGTTACAATTTAGGATACAGCTTCCTTGTTTTCTCTTCTAATAGCCTGTAGCAAAATAAACTTGGAAAATGATTTTTCCGACAGAAATAAATAGTCAAAGTGCGAAATTTAAACTCCCATAATTTCGAAATTTTTATAGATAGAATTTTTTTTAACATTTTTTTCATGTTCCTGCTGGTATCTTACCCTACGTGGCATTTTTTTCTGGGGCGCGAGTTTTGAAACAACCTCTCATTCTTAAAAGAGTCAAAAGAGCCGTTGCTTAAAAATGTAATAATTTATCTATCGTTAGTCGAACAAAAGCCATAAGTATTTTTGTTTTAAATTCAATATATTAATTTTTATCTATTAATAGCAAACACTAACACAGAGACAACAAAATGTGTTCCTCATCAAAATCATCCATTAGATAAACTATTAAAACCAAGTCGTTTCTTCCAATAAATTAGAAATAACGACACGAAAGTGAAACTTATTTATGCAAATTCATTCATGTTTTGGCAAATGCTTAACGAAAGTCTCTTCATTATCATTATTCATTATCGAATCAGATTCGTTTTTGGCTCTCAGCTTCCGCAACAGACCATCGACTTTTCTGCCGCACCCATTTATTAGTTTGTTTACTTCACTCATATGAACTTGATACTTAATATGTCTTAAGTAAGTGCAAAAACCGCCATGGTCATTACCACAAGCTTAATTCCTGTGTAACGCAATAATAAAACACCTGAATATTTAACATGCCTTCAATTTAATAGTGATGAAACAAAGTGCATTGGAATCACTAAGAAAGGGAGGAGGCAGATCCGGACCTGCTCTAGAAAGCCCCTAGTGTGACAGCAAAAGTGGCAAAGACAAGCTGAAAGAATTTTTTATTAATGAATCAATCGATGACTCCGTTGTGAAACGATTTTGTTAAGAAAGAATTGAAAGCGTGAAGGTCGATGAGGGCTTTTAGGCAAATAAATGCGCGTTGTAACTATATTATAATCATTTTTATAGGTTTCCGGTATGTACCAAAATTGAGTTTAGTTAATTGTTTCTTTATTTGCCTTGGAATTGAGGTAGTTGTCGACAATGGGAGTTCTTGAGTGGTGTACGTTCACTTTGATGTAAAAAAATTATTATAGTTTAATTAGTTTGAATGTTTTTAGTAGGCCAACATGCGAACATGATTTTGAAGTGTTGCTAATAAAACAAACAGAATTTTTAAAAGCGTCCAGCTATCAAAAATTCACGAGATGAATGATCAAAAAAGTACCCACTTGTAAAAAGTAGGTGCTTTCTAAATCAGAAAAGTTCATTCAGCTTCCTTTGCTTTAACACCGGAAACTGTCGATCAAATGATGGTAAGTGCGCCTAGGTAAAAAAAAGTGTGAAATTCAAAATTACCAGTTAACGATGTAATTATTTGTTGATGTGAAAATTACTAAATTGTATCGTTTTTAAAAATGTGTAATAAATCTTATAAGTAGCTAATACAAACGGATGGACTGACTAACATAACTGGTGAAAACGCCTAAAATGTTGTATAGTAGTAAAATAATTTCAAATAATACTTAAAATTCTTAAAACTTTAAATAGAAAAAAACATATCAAATTGAAAAAGTGCATTTCTGGTTAAAAAATTGTTTTAAAACTTTACTGTAACTGTTAAATAGGTAAAAAACATATTTATGAATTTGATTGCTTGACTTTGCATAATTATGTAAGTTTAAAATAATCAAAGCATACTTGCGAGCATATTCGCATAAAGAATTATCTTTTTGTTATGTAGACTACCAGTCTTTCAGAGCAGTATTGTTAGTCACCTAAATAACATAGTAAAAATTGTAATATGTAATAATAATTGACCATTCTATTTTAACTACACTCAGTTATTGTGTAGTGGTAATTAAATTAAATCATATTTTGGAAACAACTAAATTACACATTCGAATTTTGTAACAAGTTTTAAAAAATCCACAAATTTACTTTTTTTGTAAATTGCGGCAAAACTGTATCTAAACATATTAGGTATGTAAAATGTTCAAGAAATCAATGGGCGTCGAGAAAACTGCAAAATTTATGACAATTATTTAACGGGTGAGAATTATATCTTTTTTCTATGTGATAAAAAATTAAATTTGCTTTCCAACGGTACCAAACACAAAGGACTAGCGTCAATAATCGTCCAAAATTTCGTCAAAAATCGAAAAAATTAATAACTTCAAAATTAAACTATTTGCACTCTTAGGGTTCATGAGAAAAGTACCAAAACGTTGTAAAAATGCAAGAAATAAAATTTTCAAAAATTTTGTGTCTGTATGAATATATTTAATTAAGACATCAAGACGTGGCATACTGGTGTGCACGTGTGCTAATACGTATATAAGAGAGAGAGAGAAAGCAAATATAAGAACGCAAAGCATAATAAGAAAGAGAAAGAGCATAATAACAAATAAGTGCGTTACTTTTCTTAAATGACTTATTTGTAATAACTCAATAGCACAACACTACTAAAGACTTTTTTTCAAGTCTTAATTTTTTTTTAAAGTCTTAAATCAAGAGAAAAATTAACTTTTGTTTTCATTGAATCATGATTTGCTTGTCTTAGGTGAAGCAAAAAATGTTTTTCCTTTGCAGTTTTGCCGTAAAATCAAAGATTTTTTTTCCTCTTGTAAACTTCATCCGAGTATACGAGTACATGATATAAACTGCTCCACAAAGTCGCATTATTTTTACAACAAACAAATTTTATTCTTCTAAGCATTGAAGAAACCAGCAAAAACAAAAAAGTAAAAATATATCTGCCTTTATCTCACGTTTAATTGATTATTATTATTTTTTATATAATTTATTAATTTAATTAATTATTGTAATTATTGCACATTTCCATAACTTTTGTAGAGCAGTATATTTATTTCAATCCAAATACAAGACAAAGGTAATGAAAAATTCCGAAAAACTGTTGAAATAGTTTTTCATTCACTAAAATCAATACAAATAATTGTATCATCAGTTCAGTGACAAAAAAGTGGGACAAGTAGATTACTTTCAACAGTTAAAAGTTGATGACTATTGGCAATTAGTAGAGATAAATAAAATATTTAAAAATTAATTTTTGCAGAAATACGAAGATTAAAAACCAACGTTAGCACCGAATTTGTCACCTTTGTTTAAGTCCCCACTTCCCACCAGATTCCGTTATCTTAATGTAAATCAATCTCAGTCAAGGTAAATTAAAAATTGAAATTTCTGTTTTAATCCTAGTCATAAATCACAGAATAGTAAAGTAGTTATTGCTTGATTATTGGGAGAAAATGCTCAACAAAATTTGTTGTTTTAATTATGTTTGATTAAGACCAATGTAAATTTAAAAAAAAAGTAGGTATTAACTATTTATACAATAACTTACTATTGTCAGTGTTTTTAAATTTTTTACTATTACGTTTCCACAATAGTTCTTCTAAATTTCTATTTCTTTGTTTTTTTATTATTTTTTTTTCGAAAATACAGCTTTGTTGAGCATGAGAACATAATTTACCACGAGGCTAAGCGGCGGCTGAAATGGTTGCAATAACAACAATTACGGACACAAGAGCGGCAAGTGTACGAGCAAAAATCACGCAGAAATTAACACTACGAGTAGCAGCAAAAGGGGCGGCTAAAGAGGCGGCAAAGGGGCGGCGGTAAAGGGAGTAACCAATGGAATTCCAATCAAACCACCGCGCCGGTTGCAACATTGGCGCCGGCGACGGAGACGGCGAGAACAGTGGCATAGTGAGACATAAACAGGTCCGTGTTCAACCAAACCAAAACCAAAAACAAGTTGTGGCCTATTAAAAAATATAGCACTTATAATGATTATTTTTTAAACAGTGTTCTAAGCCAATCGTAACAAGCAAAAGTTTCAAATCGACCAATAGCATCAAAATTACAATGTTAATTTGCTAGTAGCAAATCTATACAGGACGGGGTGTCCGAAAAAAAACGTTTTTTGAATTTTTTGACAGATACGAATTTATTAGCGAATTTTCTTCAATAAAATGTCTTGTGTTATTTTTGAACGACTCACTAATCTAAATAAATATTACACTTTTTTAGTATCTTTAAAATAATGTAAATAGTTATACTTAATAATGTAATAGTGTGTATCAGTATACCTAACTTTATTTTTTTGCTCCGTGCGTAAGACCGTTCCAATAGTTGTAAGTACTTAATAAAATATAAAATAATAATGAAAATAATAATGGTGGATCTTACTGGGCCCTCTAAAAACCCCTACTCTGATGGCTGATTTTATAATATGATTGGTTAAAATTTTCTGAGGAAAAATAGTCAATGATATCAAATAATAATGTGCGCATAATGATGACTAGAATTCAAAAAGATGAAGTTTATTCACATACCAATAGCTAGTGAAGAAATTATCCGAGTCGTAGATGAAAATTGTTGTAAACTTGTAAAGCATCAAAGCTCATAGGTATAGTAAGAAGTGGCCTCGTAGTCGCCACCAAAATTTTTAAAACTTCTTGTTGAAAAAAATTTCAGGTTATCATAAATATTTGATTACCTACTGCTATTTCACATCGGTAATTATGCATTTATTTAAAATTATGCATTTATAAAGAATATTTCAAAAAAAATATTATGTAGGTAGTCTCTAATTTAAAGTACAAACCTTTTTATTTGAATTGAAACAAAAAAATAACACACAAAACTTTAAAAAAATTACTTATACAGTGATGGACAGTGAATTTCGTCCACCAAATTTCCATGACAGATTAAAAGTGTAAATTAGTCTTTAGGTTTTCCTAACCTTGTTTCAGAATTTTGATTAACGTTTGTCACGTTGACAAAATGCTTGCTGCTTCTTGCTACTTTTTACCTTTGTCCTGTGAAATGGTAGTCCTTGGTATGCCCAAAAGTATAGAGACACGTCTTTGAGACATATCCTTTTGTATCAGAGAGATAATTTTTATTTTATTAAACGCACTTACTGCTGGCATGTTCGAATTTGAAAAAATTTGACAATACGTATTTGAATGTCAGTTATCATGAGAATAAAGCACAAACTACAGTGAATTTTTGTGAATTCACAGAAATTGGGTGGACGAAATTCACTGTCCATCACTGTACATACATGTAAGAAACGTGTCTAAATGTTTAATTATCTACTGATACAATTCTTTAATTTATTATTCAATTATAAAATTAAACTACGATTTTGAGGAATAAATTAAAAATTAATATAAAAGCAACAACTAAATCTTCCAGAACTTGAATAATTACCTATAAAAAAATATTAGGCAAAAAAACTATTAAGATTATGTAATTAGTTTTTTTAAAGGTTTTGACTGATGCAAGTTAAAACAAAGTTTCTTATTAGACGTGGTCTCCCCATTTTGCTCATAGAAAAGCATGCAATTTTTTAAAATATTTCATAAGCTTCCTTATAACCGATCAATTTATGACATTTTAAAGGTAGGCCTGAATTTTCATTCAACAAAACAGGTTTTTTTTGCACATTTATTGGTGGAGGACACATTTTTACTATATAAACTCGCATTCAGTTTTAGTTCGATATCACATTTCGTAACTACAGTTTACAAAACAACCCCAAACATCACCATGAACGCTTTGGTAATTATTATAATAAAAATACATATTTTTTTATGTAATTTATTGATTTGCAGATCGTTTTTATTTCTCTCGCCATCGCTGGTGCTAACGCTGGAGGTCTCATCGGAGCCCCTTTAGCCACCCCTTTAGCTACTAGTGTAATCTCAGCCCGCGCTATTGCATCAGCTCCTTTGATCGGTGCTCCAACTCTCGCTGCCGCTCCTTTGGGTGCAGGTTTAATCGGAACTCGCTCATTGATCGGAGCTCCCTTGGGTGCTGGCATAATTAGTGCCCCACTTGCCGCCCCCTTAGGTGGTGGTTTGATCGGTGCTCGGACCATTATTGGTGCCCCCGCGATTTCCACCCTCTCAGCTGCTCCTTTGACCGCATGGTAAAAATCTACTCTTATACTTTGTGTGTCCAATATTGATGAATTTGTAAATAAAATTATTTATTGAACAACTTGTTTTAATTTAACTAAACTCAGTTTTACATGTTGCTCTTTTTACTTTTCCAAAATAATATACAGTTGCGCCAGAACTCGCGCCCCAGAGAAAAATTTCAAGTAAGATGGAACATGGAACAAATCAACAAATGTTAAAAAAATTCTTTCTGTAAAAAAAAATTTCACATTTATTTTTTGACATTTGACATTTTTTTTAATTTCTATTTAATGATACTGTATGATCTTGTATGTTTTTTTTATAATTATTTAGTAAAGGTAAAAAACTTGAAAAATTATTTTTCCAACAGAAATAAATAGAGTTAAAGTGCAAAATTTAAACTCTTATAACTTCGAAATTTTTATAGATAGAATTTTTTAACATTTTTTCCACCCTCTTTTTATCATACCTTATACCTATGGCATTTTTCTTTGGTGCGCGAGTTCTGGAGCACCTGTAGATAAGTAGAGTCTATTTTTTAATGGGAATCACAAAGGCAAAATTTTAATGAAAAATTTCGTAATGATTTGGACACAGCTTATTTCCATAGCCACAAATTTTGTTTACTTTTTTATTTTATCCCTAGAAATTTTATTAAAAAATTATATGGTTATAATCGAATACCTGAGGACAAACATCACTACCTAATGTCTAAAGACAGAAATCTGTGCTAATCATTTTGATAGAAACACACCGTAAGTAATGTTGAGGACAAAAATGAGCTTTTTGCTACAACAACTTTACTGAAAAGGGCGTATAAACAGAAAAAAGTTATTTTGCAAAAAGTACAAGCAGGTAGAGCTTATTCCATATCTGGTGGCGAACTGACGGTGACAGAAAAGTCACTTGGAATTCGCCCACTTGGTTAAGATAAAAAAAATACTTGGGCGTACTTTTATTCTCTAAAAATTGTGAAGACAAGGATTGTTATGAATATCATTTGTGAAAATTCTTTTCATGCGTTAACAATTTAATAATTTGTTCATCATTCTTCATCTTATGTACGACTACCTACTTATTATATTTTTTTAAGAAATAACAATGGTTTTAAAATACTATTTCATACGACACCAATGAACAATATTTTTTTTAATAGTAAACATACAGGGTTATTCATAAATATGAAGCAATATTTGAACCTCAAAAATGACCTATAAAATGATGTTAATTTAAATAATAACTCGTGTCCTATCTGTATTGATAAGAATTTTACAGCCCTCGGAATGTGGGTATGGAAAATTGATTTTTTTGTAATAACTTTGGAACTATTTGACCAAATATTATAAAATTTGGAACATTTCCTCGTGATAACATACCTTTTGAACTGGTAATCACGAAAACCGGATACGTTCACTCAATTTCCGGTTCCAGCAGTTGCAGGTCACATTTTCTGTGTTTTTCCATTTTTTTGCTCTCTTAACACCAATTTTTTATTGCCCAAATCGATAGAGTAATCAATTATGATTAAAAAACGCATAACCTTTAATACCCCTAAAATGGACCGTTTCAAAGATATTTTAATTTAAACTGAGGACTGCACATCGCTGAAACCAAAAAGTAGGGATTTTGAATGGACACGGTAACAAATGACCATGGTCTCACTAATCGCTGTCAGGCATCTGTCAACTTTGAGATTGGACGATTATTAGACAATTAATCGAAAATATTTAATAAAAGAGTTTACCTCAGATTCCAAACATATCTTAGAATAAATCCAAAGGGATCTCGTAGCATTTCATTCATAAAAAATTCACAAAAATTTATCGTCAAAGTTAACAGATGCCTGGCAGGGATTTATGTGACCATGGTCATTGGGTGTCGTGGATACCACTTATTCAAAATCCCTATTTTTTTGATTTCAGCGTTGTGCAGTCCTCAGTTTAAATTAAAATATCTTTGAAACGGTCCATTTTGGGGGTATTAAAGGTTATGCGTTTTTTATTCGAAATTGATTACTCTATCGATTTGGACAATAAAAAATTGGTGTTAAGAGAGCAAAAAAATGGAAAAACACAGAAAATGTGAACTGCACCTGCTGTAACCGGAAATTCGTGATTCGTGATTACCAGTTCAAAGGGTATGTTGTCACAAGAAAATGTTCCAAATTTTATAATATTTGGTCAAATAGTTCCAAAGTTATTACAAAAAAATCAAATTTCCATACCCACATTCCGAGGGCTGTAAAATTCTTATCAGTAGAGATAGGACACGAGTTATTATTTAAATTAACATCATTTTATAGGTCATTTTTGAGGTTCAAATATTGCTTCATATTTATGAATAACCCTGTATGTTTAGTGTCAAAATTCAGTCATTTTTGACAACGTCAGTTCGCCACGATATTTGAAACAAGCTTCTATCATAAAGATTGGCTATAAATTTTGTGTAATTTATTGAAATAAGCTCGAAGTTGATGCATGTTCTAAATTCTTCTTCACCTTAAGTTTCAAAATTGTTATTTTTCAAGTCGTTCCTCAAAAACGATGCAAACAGACACTAATTTATTTGCGTTCTTTCTCATTTATGTTTATTTTGTATTCTCGTCAATTACTTGGTAAACATTACAAAATGTTTCGCAAACCTCTGTTACAAATTGCGTGTACCTACAACTTAACGGTGCTCTTTTTATGACTTCCTGCTTTCAAACTTCGCGTCTCTAAATTTCCAAAAACTGTTAGCGTTACCAAATTTGTCACTATTTTTGTTTTCAAATTAATTCAAAAATAGGGCTTGCCAATACTGCCAACCTCCTTTATTAAAATAACCATAAATGAATTTGCTAGTGGTACAATTACGTAAAGACTGTTTGATATTTCTATTAAAGAAAACCGTCTTTAAATTTTACCACATTTTTGAAACTTTTTGCGTGTCAATCATATTGTTTTTACTTTTTAATTGATAGAAGTCCATAAAAACTTGCATAAAAACCCCATTTTCATACAGGTTGGCAAGATTGCCGCCTATTTGACATGTTATGATGGCGATGTGGTAACCTCTAATTTTACCTAACCTATAATTGAAAAAATGCCTATTACTCAGGTAATTTGCAATTTTTTCCGTCACCCTTTCAAATTCGCATTATTTCAGCTACTGGGATCCAAAGACACAAACGAATCATGCCGAACGTTTATTCTGCAAGGCGAAGGTCACACTTTAGGCAACGCTCTTAGATGTGTCATTTCTGGCTAGTAATACGCCCCAAACTTACCCCAAATCCCTTATTTACATAGTTTTTCCAGTCCTGATGTGGAATTTTGCGCTTACACAGTCACTCACCCCATGGAATGTTCAATGCATCTCCGCATTCAGATGCGCTCAGGCCGTGCTGTGGATGCCCTCAAACGGGGATTGGAAGATCTGGCAGCCCTTTCCGACCACATTCTTGACGAGTTTTCGCGTGAGAAACAAAATTTTGACAGTAAAGATGAATTGTCAACGTAACATTTTTGAATAAACGTCAGTTTTTTTATAAAATGTTTGTCTAAATTCCCGTCCCAATGTACATATGGCGAAACCACCGGAACATACTGCTTCCGAAGAACTCACTCTTTCATCCCGAGGCTACCGACTGTTTAAAGTCCTAGGTGAAGGCTCATATGCTAAGGTGTATCTAGCAGAGTACAAGGGCACCTCTGGTGACGAGAAAAACAAGCCCAGGCAGTTGGCATGTAAAATAGTCGATACGACGAAAGCTCCCCGAGACTTTGTCAAGAAGTTCCTACCCCGCGAGTTGGATATTTTGGTTAAAATTAATCATCCGCATTTGATACACGTCCATAGCATTTTTCAGAGGAAGTCGAAATATTTCATCTTTATGAGGTATGCCGAAAATGGAGATTTGCTTGAGTTTATTTTGAAAAAAGGCTCGATTTCGGAAGCACAATCTCGAGTTTGGTTGAGACAGCTAGCCCTAGCTGTGCAATACTTGCACGATATGGAGATAGCACACAGGGATTTAAAATGCGAAAATGCCTTAATTACCAGTAATTACAATCTAAAAGTGTCTGATTTTGGGTTCGCGAGATACGTCACCGATGCCTATGGCAAAAAACTGACCAGCGACACTTATTGCGGGTCTTTGAGTTACGCAGCCCCCGAAATCCTGAAAGGCTCACCATATCACCCCAAAATCGCCGACATTTGGTCCCTGGGCGTCGTTCTATACATCATGTTAAACAAAGCTATGCCTTTCGACGACACTAATATTAAAAGACTCCATGAACAACAAATGAACAGACAATGGAAATTCCGGTCAAAAGTCGTCGATGTTATTAGTTCGGAAGTAAAGCGTCTTATGAGTCACCTCCTAGAACCCGACACGTCCAAGCGATGGAAAATCGAGCAAATTTTGGCCTCGGATTGGTTCGCTATGGACCCGCGATTGGCCCAATTGAACCCAGCTGAACAAGCCGCGATGGTACATGCCCAAGAAGAGCGCAAAAAATACATGGACAATCTGAGAAAAAAATCTGGACCGAAAACAGTTAAAGGCGACGGTTCCAAGGAAGTTTCAGTCTTGAAGAAGGAAGTCGAGACGCAAGAAACGAACAAGTTAGCCAGCATGAGTCTCCCTAGCATGATCGCTGACGATTGAAAAAATAAATAGTTCGAGATATTTGCAAGTTTTTATGTGATAATAAATATTGAAATTGAGTTTTGTGCATTCGAAAACCAAAAGTTGAAGATTTACAACTTTTTCCTAGAAACAAAATGTTTGATATAAAAGAGGAGTTAGTAGATGACATTGAAAATACAAAGATAAGTACGAAATGTTTACAAGTTTTAATGCGATAATAAAAATACTCAGTTACATAAAATACAATGGGAGTGATGTGTGTGATGATGACGATACAAAAACATGTCAACAATTTCATAACCTATACTTAATACGAATTGTTTTGGTCAGTTTGTTAAATACGTCTAAAATCTATCTCTACTCAATTGGTAACAACGATATTTAAATACTGTTAATACAAAAAAATAGAAATTCCACGAAAACAGAAAAAATAATCGGTTTGGCACATTTGACACGATTATTATAATTTCGCTGCCGATAAAACAAACACAACAGGAATCTCATGCACTTTCCTAAGGCAAATTGTTTGGGTGGGGAAGACATATTTGATAAATACTTTCTTATCAATACTAAAAAAACTTATTAAACATGTCTTTGTGGTACTGGTGAATTAGCAATCGATGCCGGCGAAGACCGTACCAGTTTCTGTTCAACGTGATGAGAGACATCCTCGACCCTTAGGCTTTCCGTCTTCATCATCTAGGCCCCAAAAAACATTTTTAGTAACATTGTTATCTTATGAAACTAATTTAAGAAATGCAGCAGCCACGACTTACTAAGAAGCGAGAAACTCAACTATTCTTGCATCTAATCTACGTGAATCTAAAACTTTACCCACACACCTTTTACAGTTTCCTGTATTTTTATCAACAAACACTAATCAACAATGAATGATTAAAATCTCGGGAATCTAGCGATCCGGTTGCATGGAAAGAAAACCATTAAGTAAAGCATCACCTCGTGTTTTTTTAATTTATTAATCATGTTAGAAAGCTGACGCTAGGCAAAAACGCTGTTAGAAAAGTTAGTACACTTACACCCATGTTAGGAGCAGAACCGTTCAGTTCACCTGACTGTTTATCGGAATTCAGGGGGCACACTAAGTCGCCGTAATCCGCTTCGCCTTTACTCTTTTTCCTCTTCAAAGAAAATTGCGATTTCTTTGCGACCTAAACAAATCCGATTATTTGTTTACTATGAAGTGACAACAATGACTCACTTTTAATTTTGACGAGGGCGTTAGCGGGATGTAACCCATAGTCGACTCGGCCTCCCTCTTTTCCTGGATTATTTCCTTGCCCAGCAATTCGTTGAAATGCGTTTTCAGATGACGCCTCAGTAGGGTTTTCCCCGGTGGAATTGAAAGCAGTGTTGCCAACAATTCGGCTGTAAACTTGGTCTCGTACACCATCAGCCCCCCGTGTACTCCCGCACCACGCAAATTTGGGGCATACTCAGCCAAATCGACAGCTTTGAGCCACTCCATGACTCGATGAGTCGTCCATAGAGATATTTGTTTGGGAGTTGGCTGTGGCGGATCTTCCGGTGACGATCTTCGTTGCAGACACCCCGGTTCGTAATTGTTCTCTCTCAAAACATGAATCCCTCTTTTGATACTCGCAACATGGAGCAAAGAGGTCACATGTAATAAAGCCAAATCGTCGATTGTCAATCGGTGTAACACTCGGCCGTCAACACGATTTATTAGAAAATTTTCTTTGTGTTGAGGCAAACCCGTGTCGTCTAACCACCGCAACACCCAGGCCATGTCCAATTGACCCGCTTTCGTTAAGTAAGGGTCACTTGAACCGTTCTCTTGGGTATCGATCAGGGCCAGTTGGAGTTTTTTCTTGTGGAGGGGATTTTTGATGTTCAGTTCTTTTTCGATGTCACTAATTGAAGCTTCCTGTAATTGCTGACCGGATTTCACCCAACGTTTCGCTTCGGGGATGTACTGATCGAGGCTGAGGTCTTGCAGCCAATCGCAAATGTTCTCGGTGTCCCACTCCGCGAAAGGCTTGTCCGGCCTGAAACAAAAATTGTATGTTTATCTAAAGCAATAGTTAATTAGTATATTACATAACGAGCACGGAAAGTGATAAATAACTCACAAGCGGGAAAGTTGAGCACGAGGCGTTAGCCGAGTGCAGGTAATACCGCGAGTGCGTTAGACACTTCCCTGCAAGTTTTGTACACTATTTTTCCTACGACCATAAATATTTTTTTTCTTACTAACATATTTTTTTTCATAACGATTTATTTTTTATAATGGATACAAAAATACGTCGAATAACGATTTATTTTTTATAATGGATACAAAAAAATGCGGTAAATGAAAAAATACAAAACATTCGAGTGTGAATTGTGCGTTAGATTTCTAACACACAGTGCGAAAACAAATCGCACAGGTTTTCGACCTCGTACGATATTGCCAATTTTCGCGTATATGTAATTGTGCGTTATGATCTAGTTTCGTATATGGTGGTAGGAAAATTAATTTACAGTGCAAAAAACAACCATTTTCATCCCTTGTCTGGTTTACTTGACTTACTTCACTGTCAGTTGCGGCTCGCTCCAGCCGAGTCGAGCGGCGGCCGTCGCCCGGACTCCTCCTCGTTGAAATTCGCCGATTCCGGGCAATTCTTCCAAATTTCCAGATCCGGATCGTTTCATTCGTCCGAAAATCTTTTTAATGCCTTTATTTCGGTTGAATTGCAACGTCGGCGATTGTGGGGACTCACCTGAACCACCCTCGATAATTTTTTCAGTTTCAGCTGTTACAAAAAAACACAAATAAACACATCAAAGTAACTAATTAAATAAAAACAGAGAGGAGAAGCTAAGCAGAACGTTTAAGTCGATAGCTCGAGTCATTAGTCGCAGCTGAAGCGCTAAAAACATCGAAAAAAAAAGCTTCGGTTAGTTGTTGACGACTAGAGCTATCACCTAGATTGGGCACGGAGAAGCCCTTGGCCCGCCCCCCAATGAGTGAAGAAAGTCCCCTACCGAACGCCACACCCTTTTTCGGATTCGCATTGGAATCGACCACCGAAATGCTGCTTCCATTACTGATAAATTGCTGACGAGGCAGACTGCCATAATGCAAATCGATCTGGCGTTTGTAGTTCGCAGGTGGAGTCTGGAAAACAGTTCGAAAATTTTATTATTCTACCACTAGGACGATTAGAGAACTTTCTTACTTTAGGAGCCGGAATTTCGTCCCTGCGAGGGCTGCTTCCAGTTAGGGTGACCGGACTCGGCGACGGCGACATCCTCAAAGCCTTTAAAAAAATAAGTAAAGAACAAAATTTGTCATAAACTTGTTGGTTACTTGATTGCTGGAATGGTGAACTGGAGTCGATGTTTGAGCCATCCGAGGCCCCAGCGGTGGCTTTTTGATGTCTCCATTGTTATTAAATTGACTCCTCAATTCTAGATTTTCGCGCTCGAGGGCCGCCTGTTGCAGTTTGAGTTCGCTGACGATCGACATCATTTCAAGTTTTTGCGTCTCGAGCGATGATCGCGATAAGACTTCGCGTTGCAACTTCTCTTCAGTCTCGGACAAGTGTTGTTTCCTTTCCATCAACAGCTTTTCTAAATCAGCGATTTTATCAGTCTGGGCTTCGATCTGTTCGGTGAGGACCTGCACTTGTAGCTGGAGATTGTCCTTTTCATATTGTAATTTTCGGAATTTTTCGTCCTGTTGGTCGCTCGACTGAAAAATCCTATCGATTTAAATGCGCAAATATTTGGTTTGGAAGTTGAGGAAGACGATCGATAGGAATTTTAAATACGATCACGACAAATAAAAGCAAATTGTTTGGACTAGGGACGGTTTTAAAAAGGAATTCCGAGACGAATAAAGAAAAACTGTTCAAAAAAGAATCCATCAAAAAAATATGAACAATATCGAAGCCCGCCACATTTATTTCAAAAGAAAAAAGAGGATAATCAAATATAATAAAATTTATACATAAAACAAAACATTGTGAGTCATAAAAAAGAATTAAATAAAAAATTAATTATTTTCCCCATCACAAAAATGTGGGTCGAAAAGGATTGTTTAATATTGTATTACTACTGCATAAAAATGCTTCCAGCAGTGCTTGCATATTTCAATTATATCAATTTCTAACATTACTGCTATTTTTGTCATTCTTCGGCCGAAAATAGAGCGTCCAATTATACATCTGTCCCAAATCTAAAGTAGAAAAATGTTGACTTTAATCTTGTTGACATTATTTTTACTCATAATAAAGTTACGTTGATCCTGTCGTAGCAGGAAATTACACATATTTGAGTTATTATCGAATAAAACGTTTCCGAAATAATCGTGTTTTTCATTTCGTCGCTTTAAATAGAAATAATTAAGCAACATTCGTTCACTCACATAATAGAGATGCAAACTCTGTATTTTTATTAAATATGTGTTATGTAAATTCACATTAGTCAATTCTTCAATTTGCAACAGAAGAATATTCTTCCTGTATAATCAATATTACAAAAAATCATAAAAAGAAAAATTAGGGCGATTCTATTACAGCAGGAAACATGCTCCTGCACAACATTATTATCGTACAAAAACATTCCTGCAATAATCGTGCTTTTCATTTTACTATTTCATACAAGAGTTGTTCACCCCTCAAATGAAAATACAAATTCAGCTGTAATAAGCAGATAAAGAATAGCTGAATAAAGCCCCACTATTTTTTTCATTATTGCGCTAATTTTCATTTTTTCTTATATCTTTCGCAGCATTTTGATCTCTCGAAACATTAAAGTAAGTAAATAAAAACCTGCCCAAAAAGGCACTAATTATTATTTTACTTAAGCTGTTGTATCTTCCGAATCTCTTCTATAATATTAAATGAAAATTGTTTTTTAACTTTTCAGAGGAAAATATTGACATAATTTTTAGAATAAAAAGTTTAGGCAATCCTGCTCTAGCCGGACATTATTATCAGATCAAACGTTTGAGCTGTAATCATATTTTTTATTTCGTCGTTTTAAATGGCAATTAAACAACAGTCGTGCAATCCTAAAATGAAATCGCAGAAAAACAAGGACGGCGAAAATAAAAAAATATCTTCAACAATGCTACAAACCCGAACTTTTATCTTTTCAAAATATTACTGCAGATTTTATGATCCTCTTAAAGTAAAATGAATCTACTATTACATTATTGTTTTTTTCTTTGGGCATGAGCTTAAACCGTTAAAAATAGAGGTTTTATGTGGTACATGTTGTCCCTTTAACATTTTTTCGAAACATTTTGAAACAAATTGGCAATAAAAGGTTTCTTATGTCCTACTACGATACTGCAACATGTTTATCATTTGTGTTTTGTTTAAAATCAATTGCTAATAGTAACAGGTATGAAGATTTGTTAGTGAAAGTAGTCATGCTCATCGCGTGTAAAATATTTCTTTTGAAAACAAATCTCAATTTTCAAGAGATTTCCCTCCCATTTTTTCACTCACACAACACTCATGCACAAAAATAGACAAGAGATAGCTTCGAAAGAATTTATTATTGGCTACAAAAATCTGGTTAGTATCTACATCTCCTGGAATACCTTCTGGAACGGCGCCGGCGTCCAATGAAACCCCCTTTCCCCGTAAAAACAACACGGCGGTGCCACGTGATACCCACAACACCCCATCATCTCATGTCTACACCCGTACAAATCCGGATGACTCCCCCTGTCCATCAACATGGGACTGCTCCCGTACCTCTGGGGGTCCATCCTTTCATGTCTTCTGTGGAAATTCTCAAAGGCAAAATTTTCGCTACAACACCAGTTCTGACACGGAGCGAAGTCGTCAAGTCGAGGGGGACTCTTAGGTACATGAGTGGATCTCGACTTCTGATCCCTTTCCACCCTCTGATGTCGTCGCCGATCGAGACTCCCGGGGGCGGGTTTGTCTCTCCGTGGAGTTCTGGAGCGGCCGATGGGCGGCTTTGCCGCCACCTCCTCCATTTTCATTTCCTTGCGGATCCACTGGAAGTCGTCGTCGCAGCGCGTGGAACTCCTAGGGAGTGATGAGGAGGATGAGGAGGTGTCCGACGTCGAGTCATTTTGCCACGTGTTGGTGAGCTTTAACGTGGAATCGTCTTCAGGACTGGAGTCTTCGTCGAGACCTGTTTTTGACGGGAAAGCATCGTCGTAACTGGAGTTATTTGTGGAATGGCGTGCAGTTGGCAGACGGCCAACCAGTCAGGGGTACCAAAACAACGATTAATTGAAAATAACTGGAGCGAGATATAAAACGAAAAAAATCTTACGGTGGTTGTGAGTTTACTTTTAATTACTTTGAGAACTTTTCGAATCGATTGCTTCTAATTGAAATTAATAAGGCGGCGATCCACTTTGAACAAAATCTAGGTTTACAATTCTGTTGCCGGAAATTGCTTCGCAGAATTTATATTTAAAAGCTTCAAACTTTTGAGCTGTGTCGAGTGCTGATAATTTTTCTTGAACACGTGCTGCGAATGTTTGATAATTCTCTTTTGAGAGTAATCGAATTTAATTAAAGGAAAAATCAAATATGGCAAGTTGCCGACTACTAATTGGTGTTGGAAGTCAGATTTTTTCAGGATTAATCATCGGGTGCTATTTAACAGGTGTTTTAATGGCGATAATAGGCATTTTATTGCAGTAGGAATTTTTCTTTCAGAAAATTAAAAATCAGATGAAAAAATAAACACCCGATGCGATAATGACTTCAATCAGAAAAATCCATTTTTATTTTTTTGGATTGCTAGGAAAATTAACTGACATTGCTCACTGTGTGAATATTTTTTATAGTAGAGTAACTCAAAAATGTGGTTTCTAAAAAAATACATTTCTTCTAAAAAAATTATTTCGTGTTTTGCATTAATTAACTCTTCAAACATGTGTTTAATTTTAATTCAAATATGTTCATTCAACTATTAATTATTAATTTAAGCCAATAAACGATTTGCAACAAATTATTAGTTATTTATGGTGTAAGTCATGCAAGAAAAGATTTACCCCAAGAACCCGTAGGGCGAATAAGTAACTCACCAAAATTTAACGAATTTATCGAATTTTTTGTAATTTTTTTTTCAACAGATTTTGTAACAAGATATAATTATAGCGCGTTCACACATTAAAGACACTAGCTTCTGGGTCGCTCGTGCTTCAAATCTACAATTTTGTGAAAAAATTATTATCTTCCCACATTTGGTTTGTAAATCATTATTATGTATTTACGTACTTTATTTTTATACAAAAAATAGAATCAAAAATTTTATTTTAATAAATATATTTTTTATTAGGTATCGTTCCAAAAATAAAAATTTCTCCCAATTGCAAATTGTTTTATTATCGGGTACCGGTTTCGGCCAATTTGGCCTTCATCAGCCCTATGTCACGAATATTTCACATTAAAATAATTTCAAAACTTTATTTTTCAACATCAAATTACATACATAATTAAAAACAATTAAAAACGCCCTTAGTTGTTTACTCTTGCTGTCATTGTCTATTTTTTATTAGTCTTCTTTATGTTTTTTAACAGATAATTTTTATCATACTATTGTTTCCGGTATTTTATTGTACTCTTCATTTGATCATTTTTTCCTTCAGATTAAATCCTACTTTAATTAGCTATCTACAAAGCATAAAATTTTAATTTTTTTATAATACGAAACGTGTTCAGATTTGTGAAAACATAGGTCCATTAAAAAATACTCACACAGCCTTACAAATTACTTATTAATCTTCAACCACAATTTCCACATTTTTAACTAGCACTAATCCTTCGCAATTTGGATAAATGACCACTCGTAAAACCCCGAAATCTATTATGTATTATGATTATTACTCTCACTGCCATAACATTCACTCCTTCATTTTACGGCCTCATTTCCCGAATCCGTTCGATCCCGGAACAAATGTAAATATTTACTCTCCTTTGCACGTTTGAGAATCCCTGGTATGCGCCATCACATGGCCGGCATGTGGCCCAATAACTCCACACTCTTTCAATTACCCGTCTCATCATCACCGAAAATACACCAACCTTTGTAACTCAACGCACTCGACGTATTCCTGTCCTCCTCGGCGATGGTCTCCAGTCCTTCCAGTACGTGTTCTCCACTCGACTCGGAATCATCCTCGCTGGACGACTCCTCCTCCTGGCACTTCCTCTGCGCCACGACGATCCTCTCGACGTCTTCGGCCACGCTGTCGAAATCCTTCACAGCCGATTGAAAATTATCATCGGGTGTGCTAGCACAGAGGCTATTTTTGGCCGATTTCGGGGGGGCGCTCAACGCCTGCTGCTGCTTCTCGAGGACGGCGACGACGGCCGCCACGACGGTGCCGCCTGCCCGGCACAGCTCGCGCATCGACACCTCCTTATCGGCACTTGAGACACAAGATAAGAGCCACGTCCGCGACGAGAGACTGCTTTGCCTCGACTATAAACATGTGTGTTGGGGGGGCACGGCACGCCAATGACACCGAAATAAAACGCACCAAATTAGACTTAACTCAAGTTAAGTAACTAGTGGTCGGAGTTCACACACCCGAACGCAAATAGACCAACATTTGCATTTAATCGAAGTTCTATGTATAAGGGGCGGAGCCCCTCGCTCACCAAATTGGGGCAAAATCTGGACGCAGATGGGCATATAAGGCCGACTGGCTTATACACCAAATTAATCCGAACCAATTTGGTAAAGTCGTTGCAGGAAAATTTCAGATTTGATTATGTTTCGTTTGAGAATCGCGCAATAAAAGTTTCCGGAATTATGGTTCACTCCTTAAACTTGTTCGAAAGTTTGCCAATCTCGAACAAGTTGGACTTACTTTTATTAAATCAAAACTCAAATTGGTGGCTTTTTGCTGCTGCTTTATCAGAGACATACAACTGGAATTCAACAAATAACAACCAAAATAAATGCAAGAAATTGTATTTACTTAATTAAATAAAAAGTTAGAAAATCTACTGAAGCAGAAAACCCTTCTTACTAAGCCTATGTTGTCTAAAATAAATTGAGTTGTCCTTTGGCATTTATAAAAACGCTAAAATTTGTTTCATTTGTATTGTTATAAAAAAATCTCCCAAAAAATGCATTTTTGCCTCTCGAAATAGCCTAACCACTTTTGATTCGTAACAAAGTATCCAAAAACCGCGTCATAAACCCTTGAGCACATTCTATTTTAAGGAAATCTTTTATCGTCGAAATCCGATCTCCCGGAAACGAAATAACAATTCCATCACAGAGACTGCTGCCAAGTTACTCCACCAATTACGTTCAAAGTAACATCTTATTAAAAATTCATTTTATTTTGTTAATTCCACTTCTCTTTCACCATCAAACGTTAATTACCAATAGAGTTTAAAACGTTCCTAATTCAATTTACCCACGCGACTCCATTCTCATAAATTCTCTCAAAAAATAATTACGAGTAAAACGCTCCTTTCGTAATACATCACTCGGCATTAACCACAAAATCTAAATATAAACCCCAAAAGACACAACAAAGTTTCTCGTTCCCTCTTTTGTGTATATACACATATTGATCGCGAGGTCACTCCATGACGATTAACATGAATTCCGGCCGGAAATTCCAGACGCGACCAGAATTCCGGAACCGGATTAACTTTCTTCAACACGATACTGACAAGTACTTTGGTCCGGAGTGTCAAGGGTTGATCGAACGACCGCCAAATTTTAAAGCACACCCACATGACATAGCAATTAACACCCCACCAAAAATTCATAAACGAAACCATTTGAGGAATTTAATATAATATCACGCGATAAAAGGAAATGTACGGACGTGTTCGCAATACCGGAAAAGTTCCGGGTTTCAATTAATGAAATAATCCAAGAATCGCACTTTTATATCCGCTATAGTTTAGCGTAAATAAAATCACAAATTAAGTGGCTTGTTTTAAAAATTTTATATCGAAAGCCCTTAGAGACGGGCTATAAGTTTTTATTATCCAAAGTCATAAACGTCTGGCACGCCATTACAGTGAACGCCACTTGTTCATTAGAATAAATTTCGCGAGGAATTTCAGAAATTGGGTTTTAATAACGAAGTTGGGACAGGGCGAAATCGAGCGTTTGTTTGCACATACAGAAGAGGAATTATTGAAGAGTGTGGGTCAAGGATTGAGTAAACATGTGAAAAAATGATAAAACGAAAAATCGCTGAGGGTGCATGGAGATGAAGGAAAATTATGTTTAAATAGTATTTAGCCACAAAAACTTTATACAGGTGCGCCAAAACTCGCGCCCGAGAGAAAAATGTAAGGTAAGATAACCAGGGACATGGAAAAATTGTTAAAAAAATTCTATCTATAATAATTTCGAAGTAATGAGTTTAAATTTTGCACTTTCACTCTATTTATTTCTGTTGGAAAAATAATGTTATAAGTTTTTTGCAACAGGCTATTAGAAGAGGAAACAAGGAAGTTGTATCCTAAATCGTAACTCCATTTAATTTTATTTGTGTCTTTTATTGACAAAATTTTGTATGTCAAAAAATAAATGTCCAAATTTTTCTATGGGGCGTAAGTTCTGACACATCCTGTGTTTAAATAATTTTTTTTTTGATATCAAAAATTCCCAGTCCTACAACTTCCATTCCACATTAAAAGAAAATATTTTTATTACGAAACTGCCTCCACTCAAAGCTCCTCCACACATGAGCGATTTGAAAGTTAAATCGTCCTTTTGAATTCAACAAGCCTGCATTACCATTTCTGCACCTTCCTCCTTTGCCATCATCCTCGGTAGCGGTCGCGGCGGTTTCCCTCCACTAACGTGTGACACTCCCGTCGGCGGCGAAACTAAATCACCGCCGCCGGAATTCCGCACGAAACTCTGTCTTTCCGCGTAGAAATTCCGGTAATCCGGGTAGACATAATACGGTTTGGGATGCCACGTTAAAAGTTCCGGGGGTGGCGCCGACGGTTGAATTCTCGGCGGCACCGGAGGCGGCTCGCGTTCAATCACCACGTCCCAACCTTTGGGCACGGTGTGCTTCTCATCGTGGGGACGGCGACGTCGCACCGGAGGCGTCGGCGCCGGTTTGAGACGTAATAAGAAAGCGACTTCGTCGCCGCCTCCGGAGGATTCGTCCATAGCCGCGCCCGAAGCGTGACTAATTCCACATGTGGCGATTTTTACGATTCGAACACGTGTTGAGTGCTCGTCGGGACGCTGAGAGTGTCACACTGAGCTTGTCGCGAGGAGTATTCTCGAAATAGGTGGACGATTTCGGATTTTGAACGAACGAAAAATTCACGTGGAAAAGTTTTCCTCCAGGCGTAAACATAACGATGGGGATTTATGACGGGGAGCAAGGAGTCGATAAGGAAGGGCGAGAACGAGAATGTAATAAATTTTCACGTTGCCACTTTCGAGTCAAATAAAGTAGATTCAAATAAAATCACCCAAAAAATTTATAAAGGTTAGGCAACAACTATAGAGTATTTTTCTTAAAAAATCGAGAATAATTAAAATTCGAAAAATTAATGACTGCCAACAGCGCTTCCAGTGCTCGAGAATGATAAATATAACCGACAGTTTTCCCCTGCTTACAATTTTGACACTGACAAACGAATATCCGCGAGAATTTATCTCGACTAATTTTAGAAATAAAACAATTTTATTACGTCTAACAAAAAGTACACTTTAAAAGCTCGAAATCCGGCGACCGTCATATTAGAAAAAACTGAAAGTGTGTTGTGGTTTTCATTTCATTGCAATAAAAGTATACAGGATGAATATAAAGTACGGAACCAAGCCTTTTTTTAATCATTTACTACCAGAAAATAATAATTAATATGAATTAAAGTAATATAAAAAATGTTATCGTATTTTAAGAACGAAATTTTGTTTTGTTTTTGAGTTATGCAATTTTTTTCTTCAAAATTGCAATTTATATATTTTTTTGTTTTGATAAATATAAAGTAAATAGTTGTAATCCTTAGATCATAACCTTCATGAGAAAAATGGTTTTATAGTGGGTTACTATTTGAAAAAATTAAACATTTTGTAAAACTCAAAAACAAAAGAAAATTTCGCAAAATTTTATTCTTGATAAAACAACACATTTCGTAAAATAAATAGTTTAAGCAAGAAACGCTTAGTTCCATACTTTTTATTCACCTGGTATGTAAAATCAGCAATAAAAACATTAAGGGCCAGTTTCATAATCGAATTAAAGGGACTTTTTTATGGAATTATGGAATTAAAAGCTTATTTTTTTTTACATTTCATAGTGGTAATTAAAGTTCCATGCTTTTCAAACATAAATTATTTTTTATAAACATATAACGTAATTTACTTTATTTTCTGGTTCTAACCCACATTTCATTTTTTTAATAAAAGAGTTGTTAAAGCAAAGCCATTTATTTCCCCTTAATCTTCCAGAGTTGACAGGTCAGAAACCCCAAAATAAAACATCCATAAGAGAACAAGAGCTTTACTTCGACATGAAAAAATCACATTTCAAACCCCAAAAATAGAAAATTTCTAAACACTTTTCCCCGTTTTTTATTTTTACCGGATTTTCAATTTGTAGCACGAGTGCACTACAACATTTCTCACTGTCATTTAATGTCAATTCGACGTTTCCTTTCCAATTTATTTTTAAACAACGTAGTACATTCTTGTTGTCTGTACACCAGCCAGCAGAATTTTAATCTAAAAATTTTTTCTCGCAACAAAATGTATCGATCGTTCTTAATGAGTCGCAAGAATCATCTGCGACTATAAATCACCCCCACAATTCGAAATTATTCATACCCCTTTCTAATTGTTCGTTTTGAATAAAATCCCTCATATTTCCTCGGGTGTTTTGTGCTGTACACCGGTTTTAAGCCTCGTAAACCACTCGCTCACGAGCTTTCGACAAGATTATGATCCCGGCGAGCATTCTCTTCCGATTTAAAAATTTGCCGTTTAAATAAACAACCAGCTTTATCTCGAAAAATCAATATCTCCCTGTGGACTTACCGGACTTTCTTAAAGGATCAAATTTGAATCAAAACAGTTCCTCTGGGAGAGTGATGGCCGCTCTCTCGCCGATAAGAGACCGCGTTTGTTTCCGGAATCCGGTGAATAAGTCACGGGATATGTCAGACACGACTCCGGAATAGAAGAGCGCCGCCTATCAATATTGGAATGGTTGTGGCTTTCCGGGCGGCGAGTTTAAACTAATCCAGTCGATCGGATCACGTGTTTAGATGAGTTATTTCGTTTACGGTTGCCCTTTCATGCCTGCGTTTATGTTTGAGGGGCGGAACGTTCGCGAATACGAATTTATGATGCGGGTTTACTCCGAAACGTAATTTATCGAGTTGTTCATTTAGCGAAAGCAACTTTACGTCGTTTTGTTTATGATTTACTGTAAATGAAGTTGAAAACGATACGAGGTAAGAAAATTGAAAACTGTTACGACAAAAGATTTTTTCAATAGGAAAATAATAGCGAGAGGAGAAATAATTGTGGTCATTTTCGGGAAATTGGGTATCAAATATTAATACGGCGGGTAGCAAGAGTGATTGATATTGATTCTGGCACTCAGAAATTAGAACTATTATATGTCTGACGGTGTTACGCTCATTTCCAAACAGAGTAGAGGAAGAGCGAAATTAAAAAATAAGTAAATAAATTAAAAAACATATTATTTTAAATTTCTCTTATAGATTAAAATTTTTTCAACCCGACTTTGTTGATATAGGATTCAAATAAGAAAACTCCTGAAAGATTTTTGCATCAGAGTGCTATAAAAACTCATGTATAATTCACGAATCGTCGTCTTTTTTTGCAAGTGGTGTTTATAGTGTGCTGTACTTTTAAACTTAAAACTCGACAGCAGTTTATTTGTCTTTTCCATTGAACATGTTAGCAACGGGTAAGTGACAAGTTTTGTTATAAAATTTCCTCCGTTCACTGTTGGCTAACTTGCGTATCATTTCCAACCATCAAATTACATTCTACGACAATAGCCGTCTATTTACTTCCCCGTCTCTCTTTTACCGCATTTATAAAGTCCTTGTCCGACGTCTTAGACGCCTAATTGCCCTATACATTCCCGGTGAGCAACAATTCACAAAGCACTCTCAAGCGACACACAGACCGATTTTTTTTAAACGAATATACTCGAGATGACCTATTATCGTAGTAGTATACCAGCCCCGTGGGGTTGCATTTATACCGCCACACGACTTTCCACTTTAGCTCCGAGAGCGGCGGTGGCGGCGGGAAAAAAAAAACACCGTTTTCGTTTGGATGAGTGTCAAAGTGTTCACACGCAGTGAGGTCAATCAGGCGAAAAACACATCAACAACACCTTTGTCATCACATAAGGGTAGCGACGGACATAAAATGACCACCAAACGAAAGAAATTTTTTTTTCATCAATTTTTCTGTTGTATCTAGTATCCATGGTTGTTTGTTGAGATTATTTTATACGTTAGAAAAAATAGCATCACAAACGTCAATGCATTTTGTTTGACTGTGGAAATCAAGTGATAAAAAAAATCATTTCTATCGTGACACGATTTATAAAAAGGAAAGTGGTTATAAATGATTTTCATCTAGCCAGCTGTGAATTTTCCATGCAAAATGAATAATGCCGCTTTACGAAAATAGGGGTACCTACTTGTTTTAACTCAAAATTAAAAAATCGCCGTTTACTAAGCGTCCACTTCGAAAATAGACTTCAATTATAAACTTGTTTTCTTCCAAAGTATACATTATTATCAATTATTATTGAGAATTAGTTGAAACAATAAAAGTTTAATTAACAACAATTTATTATTACAGAACTACAAAAAAAGTATAGCGGCACAAATAAAGTTACATACAAAAAAATTCCAAAGCTGGCTATATGAAAATCGTTTTATAAAAAATTGAATCAATAACAAACATTGTTGTTAGTTTCCATTAAAATATTTATTTTTTAAAAATATAAAACGTAAAAAGTAGTAAATTGCATTCGCTTTTGTATTTGGAATGTCTCCAGTCAGCAAATGTTTGACAATAAAAGAAGGGTATTATCTATACATACAAGCAAACACAAAGCCAGACAGTCATGATTTCGAAATAACAATAAACTTTTCAACCAAATCATTCGTTATTTGAGAAGAATATGCCTCCGAATTACCAGAGTGCGGCAAAAATGCAGTCTTTTTATGACGACTTAATAAGGGTGTCTCTTTTATTGTACTATGAACTTATCTCTATGAATAAATTAAGAAAAGTCTCGAAATAAACAATAAGAGGAATAGCAAATTTTAATTAAAAGAAATAAAATCCTTACCTGAAGCCAGTGGAGGAGGACTTTAGCGACGTTGGGGTCTGGAGGTGGCGGTGCGGGGACGTTTTGTATGGCCGTGACGAGCGAGTTAGCGGCTTCCCGTACCCCCGGCGGTGACGCCGCGAACCCATAATCAGGCGAATGGGTCGTAAGTGAGCTAGTGTTGCCTGCAAATAACAAAAAATCTTAAATGGGACACGAACAATCCCCGACACCTACTGGTCAGTTGGCCCGAGTGGCACATATTGAGCCACCACCAGCGCGTCATCCGGCCTGGTTCAGACGGACGCCGGGGGTGCCCCCATCCCGGAACAAGGCTCGCGAAACAACACACCTGTTGAAGAGCGACGGCAGCCGACTAACGACACAGACTCCGGTACGCCGGAGATCCGGAGTCGAGTGTGCGCGCCGGAACACCGGAGTTTTGTAAACAGACTCACCTGATATGATACCATCCATTTGCATAAGGGCTTGTTCGAGGAGTTTGCTAGCTTCAGTCTGGGGGGTCAAACCAGGAACGTCGTCGTTTAGTTGCTCAACTTTACCCATTTTCACTAATTAGTTTAATTGATACCTAATGGAAAAGTTTCACTTTGAGGTTAGGGACAACATTTGGGGTAAAATAACGCCAAAATTTAATTGCAAATAAAGGAGAATAAAGGTTTATATCAATTAACGCTAATTTACTTGAAAAGAAATAAACACTCACTGTTTACAGCGTTTATAAACTCAACATTTGGCTTTGTTTATGTCGTTGACAGAAAAGTTACGTCACTGCAGGGGGCGCCATCATACACAAAGATCATTCACAACAGACTCAGTCGGTAAAAATCACAGTTACATCAACGTTACATCCGTTACATCTGTTGTTCTGTGACGTTACATCTTCAGAGTTCTTCCACAGAATAGTTGCTTGCTTGAGAGCTAATCTGTGGTTCTTCAGTAGGGTTGTGGTAGGGTTCCATCATAGACAAAAGTCAATATAGGGTTAGTTTGGCCGCAATCGTCGTTCAAAAATTCAAAATTGTGAAAATTTAAACGCGTTTTTCTACGAAACTATAAAACTTAGAGCAAAATGCCAAAAACCATCAGGATCTACATTAAATTATGTATTTAATGGACCAAATCCGGAGTCGCTCCGGGTTATGGTTCCGGGTGCAGATCAATGTTTAGTTTTTTTCATAAAAAATTAACATGTCAAAAACTATGAGTCCTAGATCAAAACGGTTTGTGCAGGCGTGTTCTACGGTTAATTTTACATATAAACCTAGTTTTTTTTGGTTAAAAACGGATTTTTCTAGCCTTATTCTTAACTTTATTACTCAATATCTCAAAAACTATGCATCGTAGAGTATTTTGACTTGTATCATGCTCAGCGCGTAATTTTACGTCTAGAAAACCATATTTCAAGCGTTTTTACAACTTAAGGTAAATTGACTATTTTTACGATTTTACAACCGATCATCTTCAAAAATTCAAAAAATTTGAAATTTTTTAAACTTGACCCAATGGCGTTTTATGCACTTATTTAAGTCTTTAAGACCTCTAGAAATGTAAAAAACGTTAAATAAATCAATTTTAAAGTTAAATTTTTTTTTGATTTTTGTCGAGATTTTGGTCGATTTTTGGCACCCGGAGCGGTTTATTGCCAATAACTCCGGTCTTATTGGTAATAACCTCTTATGTTTGGCACCGTTCGAAAGCAAAATTAATTTTCTATCATATCCACTGTTCTACGATAAATAGTTCTCGAGAAAATTTCTGATCAAGTCAAAAATATCAAAAATTTAAATCCGCTTATAACTTCACAACTATTACGAATTTTGCAGTTTTCTTGACGCCAATCGATTCCCCGGAACATTTTACATAGGTTTAGGTCAAAACATTACATCATTGAGGCACAGTTTTGCCGCAATTTACAAATTAAAAAAAAACTAAAAATTTGTTAACACCCCCTTAAAATCTAGTGTTTTGAACATGTCTCAGATTCAATTTAAACCTATCTTATCCGATATTTTGACGCTCTGATTACGAATTTCCCAAGTATTTTGCGCTATCTCCTTTAGTTTCGCCGTAATCGGTGTTTAAAAATTCAAAATTTTTTTGCGAAATATCGATGGAGTTGAACTTTTTGCTCTAAGTCTAATAGTTTGGGCGTAATCGTCGTTCAAAAAGTCAAAATTGTCAAAACTGTGAAAATTTAAACGCGTTTTTCTACAAAATTATCAGACTTAGAGCAAAAAGCTAAAAACCATTAGAATTAGCTTGAAATTATCTATTTAATGGCGCAAACCGGAAGTCGCTCCGGGTTATGGTTCCGGGTCCAGAGCGATTTTAAGTTTTATTAAAAAAAATTTAATATCTCAAAAACTATGAGTCCTAGGTCAAAACAGTTTATTCAGGCGTATTTTCCGGTTAATTTTACATATAGTGCTAGTTTTTTATAAGAATAAAAATTTTTTGATTTTTTGGTCAAAATCGGATTTTTCTAGAGTTATTCTTAACTTTATTACTTAATATCTCAAAAACTATGCATCGTAGAGTATTTTAACTTGTATCGTGTACAGCGCGTGATTTTACGTCTAGAAAACCATATTTCAAGCGTTTTTACGACTTAAGGTAAATTGACTATTTTTACCTTCAAAAATTCGAAATTTTTTAAACTTGACCCAATAACGTTTTTACGCACTTTTTTGAGTCTTTAAGACCTCTAGAAATATGAAAAACGTTAAATGAACATTTTACATATGTTTATACTATTTTAAAAAAAGGCAGATTTTGCTCTATAGTTCAGCGTCCAAACTACAGAGGCGCTGCTGAATACGAGTTCAAAAGGTTATACACTTCTCAAGGCCATCTATATACCCTATATAAAGGGTTCCATTTAAAATCTGATTGTTTAAATAATATAATAACACTTATTAGGGAACAATTTAATTTAATAATTCGGATCGCCGTACAACAACCCACAAATAATAAAGGCCAACACTCAAATTTCTTGTTCAGGGCCGGTAAATAAGAAATCTGTTACCGTCATTTTACCATTTATTACATTTAAAATAGAATTTTAGGGCTTAATCCTTAAAACAACCGGAGCGCTGGTACAAGGTAAGATTGCCAATTCTGTAACAACCGCAGTAATCAAATCCGGTGGGGTAACATCGTACAACAAATTCAGAATCTGTAAATTTTCATTTCTTGACGTAACAAGGGGACTACTTTCATCAAGTGTATTTGCGGTAAATAACATTTCAGGCTCACCTAAAACAAAAGCCAATGACCTAATTGACCAATTAGGAATTCAATACCCACCTAATTCATTATACACAAAAGAATCAGTTAAAACTTGCTCGCTAAATTTGTAAGTTTCACAACAAACCAAAACCGGTTTATTGTAAGCTTGAGCCACTAAAGCTACTTGTGCGGTGCCAATACGGGACATTACATAGCCGTTTGTGAGTAAAGCGTGAGCCCCCAGGAGTAACTTAGTGGCTTGGTTCATTACATAACTAATTGCGTTCATTTGGACATAAGTACAGTTGATTCCAATTTGGACCAGACGTTGTAACATTGTGCGACCTTCAAGAAGGGGGCGGCCGTCAATTACTACAACTTTGAATTGTTTACCCGCCAAATGGGCATCCTTTAAGATTTTGGTAACAAGAGATGAGCTAAAAGTTATATTATAAGTCAAAAAACGACAAAAAAAATAGGCGTACCAGCCGTAAGTGAGAATAACGTCCCCGTTGCTGATTTTCTCATTGACTTTCAGACTTATCGCTTCACCGGCTTTGTTAATTTCTTCCGCAATATACGTCTCAATATCCTCCAAAAGTGTTTCCTTCTTTATATTGTCTTCAAGACACTCAACTTGGTGAAGTTTCGTTTTAAAATGCCTTAAAGCGTTAGTCATAGATACGGCAAGGGGGCGACAAAGCTGCAAATAGTCAACACAAGTCTGAAGCACAATTTCTAAATACCGACAAAATTCCTGTTTTGGGGGTGTTTGTAGATCATTTATCAGACATTTAACAGCGGCTAGAAGCGCCTGAGCGCGAGCATTTGACCCTAGGATCTTTTTCGTCGAGTATTGTACTCCAAGTCTTACAAACGCTGGATGAACATTTTTGTAAATAATTGCATTACCAAAAGTTGCATCAGAATATAAGTGACTCACAATCTGGAGTCTTCTAGAATCTGAAATTTTCTTTTTCTCGACTTTTTCCTGCTTTATCGGTGAAGGTGCAACTTTTTTAACTTCTACAGATTTTTCAGGGGGTTTTTGTTGTTGTTTGGCGAGTCTTTGTGCCTCTTGTTGCTCCCGTCGTCTCGCCTTCAGCTCCGCTTTGCTTAAATTCTCATTTTCAGGTTTCTCGGTTTTAGATTTTTGTTCTGCAAGCTTTTTCTCCCATTCCAAACGCCTCAATTCTTTTTCGCTGAGCTGACCTGGGGCACCATTGGCGGGCTTCGGAGGTTCGGGCTTTATCTGAGGGACAATTTGGACCTCTTTTTTGTTATCAAAAGATTGTGGTTTATTCTTCTCCTGCACCTTTAAGGCCCGGCGTTCTTTCTTTGTCAAACCATCACCGTCCACTTTGCCCCCTAAGAAATATAACCTCAAAATTTCTTTTAAAAAAGAACTTCTGACCTTTAGATGAGATGTTAGTTTGCTTTCCTTTGTCCATTTGATGTCTAAATGACCACTTTATCAATGTAAAACTTAAGCATATGCCTAATATGAGGCTAAATATGTCACATTCATAAATAAATTTAATTTTTGACAGGTAGGCAGCCCACAATACCACAATCTTAAAATTGCTACTTATTAATTGTTATATACGCAATGCACTTGTAAAGTAATTATTGTATATTGTATTTCTGTTTTTGCTTGTAAATCTATGCATTTTACAAAAAGAAAAAGTTTTATTTAAAAAAATGGTCTGTATTTTACGCCATTGCTACCAACATTGCATATATATTTTTAATTATTTTTAAATCGCCATAAATCTGATTTTTCAGGGCGTAATTATTCTTAAGCAACCGTAATTCTCCACTCAAAGCTAGTTTTTGGTCAAATTTGGTAAATTACTTGGACTTTGTTATGTCCATGTCATTGACCTTTGTGTGACATAACCTTAAAAGTCTTTCCACATTTTTCTAGATTCTGTATAAAAATGCGTCGTATTCAAGGAAGTTTTGGATCAAGAGATCCTGAGGAGGACCGTAAGAAGAACCGTGAATCTGTTTTGGCAAATTTAGTTTTGTTTTGCTCGATTGTGGTGATAATACGAGTGGGTAAGGGCTTTGGTATTTCTTGGGGCTGGGATTCGTGTAATTCATAATTGATGTTTTTAGCCCCTATTGTTGTAAACAGTCTATAATGGAAGCAAGTTATGTTCTTCGCATCTTCGCAATGTGGGACTGAATGTTGTGATGTAATAAAGTTTTATACGTTTTTCATTATTTGTATGACTTGTAAATTACATGGAATGTAAAAAAGCCGAATAAAGTCATGTAATCGGATGAGTTGTTTTGTTTTTTTTTTTTTTGAGGACGAATTAGGATTTAATGTGTATAAACTAACTTTTTCAAATATTGTTTATTTCTCTTTTATATAATACTTAACACTAATTAATCTAATTGATGTATGTTCAGTAATAAATTAGGATGGAGTGTTGTGTAAGTATTGCACTGGCGGGGTTCAAGATTGTCAGGTGCCAGCACCACTCCACACGTGTGGAATGTAAACACATGAAAACAAGACGATATATAAATTATAAATATATTATATAAAAACAAATAGGGGGCCGTTCGGCCACCATCACAATAGCTACCGGACACGACACATTACAGTCTCGGTAAAAATCATGCTACTTTATACAGCATCACTAATCATAAACTTGTCACGAGTCATAATTGTAATATAAAAAAAACAAATATAGCAACAGTGCGTAGCTATGTCGAGTCTACCTCCGCAGGTAACAATCCGTTAAGTTAAGAACACAGCCTCGCAAGCCAAATACTTTTAGGTATCTTCATTCACATCATAAGGTAAACATTTTCACTAACATTATTTATAATATGATACAAGAGTGTATTAAACATATGTACAATTAAAAATACATAAGTCCATTTAGATTAAAAATCTACACTTTATTTACATAGCTACACTCGTCGGTCTTTAAGTATACATTACATCACTTTACACTTGTACGCGACGAAAAAACTCGTCGAAAAATTGATTTACGTAGCACCATTGCCGGTTCGTTGTTCGAACAGCGCCCGTGCCAACACTCACCACTAGAGCTGTTCAACGAATTTACTCAACTGGTCTTGGGGCGTCATCGCCGGCACTTCGCCCGTTTCCTGGTTCGAACCCCCGACTGGTGATGCGTGGGGATGCAAAGACCCCGTATGATTCTGTCCTAGTAACATCTCTGACGCCGCCATGTCGTGCGGACTCGGTTGAGGACCCCTCGGACTCGCCACTGCCTGATTCCTCGGGCTCGGCGATGGCCGCGATGACGGACTCGGCTGTGGACTCCTAATCGGAGGCGGACTCCTCAACTGTTGCTGCTGTACTGAAATTCCGCCTTGTGGAGGCCCCATCACACCTTGAGGCGACGGCACCGGCGGTGGCGTCGGTTTTAATCCCTGCATGGGCGGGTACTGTTGGTCTGGATACGAGTTGTAGTTCATGTGGGGTTGTCGAATCGCCGGTAGCCTTTGTTGGTAAGAAGGTGGCGCCCCAGGTTGTTGAAACGGTTGTTGTTGCTGCTGCTGCTGCTGCTGTTGTTGTTGTTGTTGTTGCTGCTGTTGCTGTCGCTGCATCGCCAACAATTGCTGGTTTCGGTACCATTGTTGTTGTTGCTGCTGTTGTTGGGTCAGGGGTTGATTCGGGGGGCCTTGATTGAGACCTTGACCCGGATTTTGACCCAACATGCCTCCCTGCATCTGGAGCCGGTTCTGGTGTTGGGCAGTGTTTTGTTGGGTTAACATATGCTGCAATTGTTGGGGAGGCGTACCTCCAACACCCCCACCACTTGCTTGTTGGAGTTGAGCCTGCTAAAAACACCATTTTGTTTTTAAAACACCCCTACTGATAAAAAAATCAAATACACACCTGTCTTTGTTTAATAAAGGCCGCCATTAATTGAGGATTAGCTTTAAGTATCGTCAAAATTTGTTGCTGTTGTTCGGGCGATTGTGGCGACCTTAAGGTCTGCATTAATTGTTGAAGTGCTTGTTTCTGCATCGCGTTTTGTGGATTAGGGATGGTTCCAGCGCCAGGACGGACACCGCCTTGATTGGGTTGCATGGGGGCTTGACCCATTTGACCTTGTTGGATGATTTGAGGGCCGGGTTGGCGGAGACCTTGAGCAGCACCTCCTGGATACCTTTGTTGCCATTGGGTCATCGGCAGTAAATTACCCCCTAAAAATAAATTATATAACTTACCAAAAATGCAACCATTAAAAATGCCATAAAAACGAATGAATTATCACTTTACCGAACGTCCGATTTCGTATTTTTCTCTAGTTAGAAAATGCGTTCCAAAATTAATCAAAAACTTCCCGAACTATTTCGATATTTTATTATTGTCTTGAATGATTTTCAACTCGTCCATCGAAAGTCTCTGTTTACAACCATAAAAAATTAATAAAATGGAATACACAAAAAGTCCCGTAAAGAAACTCTATCCTTGGAAAAATTACAAGCAAGAGAAAATTAATAAATCTATACATCTACACTTATTTTTAAACCAAAGTAGTCAAATAGTAGTAGTAGTAGTAGTAGTAGTAGTAGTAGTAGTGTAATATGTATTATAAGGTGATCAGTTTTATATCAAAAAATAACCATGATGTTTTAATTAAATTTAGGTGGTTAAAAAAATATTAATTTCAGAAGTTGTAATTACATAAATTAAAATACCAGGTGAATAAAAAGTATGGTGCCAAACATTTTTTGCTTGAACTATTTATTTTTTGGAAAACTAATTGATAAATGATATAGTACTATAAAAATGTGATGTCTTTTGAAATTTTCTTTATTGAGTTCTACAAAAAAATATTTTTTTTAAAAGGCAACCCACTATAAAATCATTTTTCTCATAAAGGTTATGTTCTAAGAATTACAACTATCATCTACTTTATACTGAATTAAAAAAATATTTTTTTACATAAATTTCAATTTTGACACACATTGTGCATAACACAAAAACAAAACAAAATTTCGTTCTCAAATACGACCACATTTTTTATATTACTTTAATTTTCATTAATTATTACCTTCTGAAGGTAAATTATTAAAAAAAAACGCTTGGGTCCATATACTCAGCCTGTATACAGTTTACTTTTTTTATTGTTAATTATTGTGTACGCAAGTGGAAGAACACAACTCTGTTCTGCAGTTGACCGTTTCAAGATTAGTACAAATTCTCTTGCTTGTAGGTATTAAAGTCAAAAAAAAAAATTGTATTAAATTTTGAATACGTACCTTCCATATGCCTCAACTGCGGCGGCGGCATATTCTGTCCCGGGACGCCGCCACCCGGCGTCACTTTTCCGTATCCAACATGCGGCGCTTGTTGTCTTGCCGCCTCCTCTTGCACTTGTTTGACCACTTGTAATACATTCGCGGGCGGCGTTTGTGTTCCCGGTTTCAGTCCTATGCCTGGCTGATGTGGCGATGTTATTCCTATCGCGCTATTCGCCATTCCCGATGAATTCATTGAATTCGCCGGACTCACCGCTCCCGGCCCCACCGATGGCACTCCCGCTAAACTGACGGTACTCGTCATCGTGTTGCCCTGCGGCAATGTCCTTGTATTCATCACCGCCATTCGTCTTCGAAGCAATTGCGCCTGTTGCAACCTCTGCTGCAACTGTTGTTGCTTCAACTTATGTTTAATATTTGAACAGAACGGTACAGGACATTTCGTCTCTTGGCAGTGTTTGGCATGGTAGCAACACAACGCGATCAATTGTTTGCAAATTGGACAACCGCCGTTCGTCTTCCTCTTGCAAACTTTAGTATGTGTAACTACCCGTTTCATCTTTTGACAGCTAGTAAGTCGGCAGTTAGCATCCCTACATTGACACGCATGTACCAATGAATGTATACAACGTTGTATCGATAATTTGCGAGCTTCTTGTGGATTGGCTTGTTTTTGATCGCTGGGCGAGGAACCGTCATCGAGATCGAAACCGAGTTTTTCCATTTTGTGAGGATGGCCCTCTTTGTCGTAGCACTGAATGCAGAGATCGAAATCGTCGCAAACAGTACAATGGTAGCGAGTCTCCACATGACTTTTGCAGTTATTACAGGTGTACACAAATTTGTCTTGGCCTTGGTTGTGGAGTTCGTACAACATACACATGGTGCTGTATTTGGCGCGACGTAGTGATGAAAATTCGTAGTGTTTCTCGCGGGCGAGAGTGAGGAAGGCGTCGCGACCGTCCATCAGATCACAGTTGATGAACGGATCGGGATCTTGAATCGGCTAAAAATAAACAAAATGATAAGAAAAATATATATACCATTAATAACAGCTATAAAGCGATAACAAATTCTAAATAAAATGACTAAAAAAAACTTTCTGTGGTGAAAAATAGACTATAAAAAAGTCTTTTTTGAATCTTATTAAAATGCAATCATGGTTCCGTTCATTGCTCACACATTCGCCCAAAATCCTTGAAACTCATTTAATCTAACATTAACTGTACATTTAAAAAATAAACGTAAACAAGTGTTATATTTGCAGTAAAATCCAACTTCAAGGACGCAATAATTAGCAATTAGCACAAAAAATATTTTTCGTAACAAATAATATATTAATTCCTTTTTTCTGAGTTGACCTTCAATCACCAAATAAAAATAACCAAATCATGTCACAATTCTAAATTTATGACCCAAAATTTATTCTTGACCTTTCACCTTCCCACGATAACAGAAATAACCTCAACTCACCCCAAGACTCGCCGCCGATTGCACTGAATGTAACCTTATGACGAAGAATACTTCTTTGTGTTTTTCCATAGTCGCGAAGATCTTCGCCGAGAGATCATTACCCGTTTGAGGCGTATTCGACTTTTTACTACTATTTTTTCTTTGATTGGCTTTTGACTTATTACTTTTCTTAGCTTTCTTTTGACCTTTCTTCTTACCGTCAGGACCAGTCTCACACTCTTCAGTCAAGGAAAATATCTGTAATAGACCCAAAAAATTAGTCAAAAAACTCCCTCAATTGTCTTAATTATTACCGCATTCGCCGCCGCTTCAGCAGCTTCCGCTTGCTTCCTCTTCTCTTCTTCTTCCTGGTCCAATTCTTTTATACTTTCTTCAAGAACATTGGGCCAAAAATCACCCTCGAAATAGGGCAAGTCTGCCGCCGACCTCAAATTATCTTCCATTGCTTGCTTTAAAATATCCTTATAATCGAGAACTATCCTTTCGATAATCCCTTTATCCAACATTTTCTTATACCAGTCTTGCAGTCTTTTCGGTTTGGGGATTTTTTGTTC